ACAGTGAACACTACGCTGTCGGTTTTTGGTTGGCCTTAAGTGAAGGTAAGTTTAAGATTTCCAAAACCCTTTTATCTTAAACTAGGCCTAGCTTAAGGATTATTAGGAGTACTCTGTATACTGGAATATAGTTTAATTAGTTAAACTAGAATTCATTTAAGGGTTGACAAATATTAAAGTGATTGGCCTTAGACTAAGAATAGTTTAAGGATACTGTTGAATGACAAATGATGAATATACATGTTGGATGATTGAATAATGAATGTTGAAAATTGAATATTGATTATTGAATATATGAACTGAACATTATGTGCATGATATCAAATGGTTGATTATGAATTGAGATTCAATTTATGTGGATGTTCGACGCATTAGATATGCTTACTCAGCTTTACCGCTGAGCGTGTAGTGTGTTTTATTTACTACACGCAGGTCAATAGAATGATGTGACGTGATCCTAGAGGCAGACGGAGGCGAGATTGTCGGAATGGATGTGATGGTTTTGAATTAAAGAATATAAATAAATTATGTTTGTGATTATGATTTGTTAAGCTTCCGCAATATTGAAAACTCTGTACTGTTTGTGATATGAAAAAATATTATTATGATAAATAAAAGTGTTTGAAAAGTTTTAAATTTTACGATTACCAAGTTAATACTTTAGTCCGAAAGGGGCTGCAGACCTGGACGGATTAGGGTGTTACACTACCATGACCAATACAACCATAAGTAATACTTCATACTATATACGGAGTATTATACTACCTCCGTCCCACAGTATTTGTCCACTTTCATTTTTACACACCATCTAATACACTTTTTAATCCATTTTATCTTGTAATTTGTATTTTAAAAAATTATAGAAATTATATATTAATAATCTATATGTTAAGACAAATCAAACAAAATCACACATGACTATATTTAGACTTACACATAGAGAGAATTTGATGAGTCAAAGTGCTTAGATGAACAGTTCCAAAAGTCAAAAGTGGACGAATATAGTGGGACGGAGGGAGTAATTGTCTAACAATTTAGGCTAATGATTTACTGCCAATCTTAGAACAGATCACCACTACCCCATACTTTGGAAAATATGCATTAATACCCCTCTTATTTTCAAAATAAGGTACACATTTTTTGGGTACAAATAACTTTATCCAAATTGGACACACAAAACTGCTTCTGCCACAACACACTATCAGCCACCCACAATTTGATAGAGGTGGTAGATTCGTATCGCCGTTCCTAAAGTGAGAGGGAAGGAGCGAGAAAAGGGGCAGCCGGTGTTTACCTGTTTTTGAGCGACACCTAGGGAATTCGACGGAAGATCTTCTGCAACTCATTTTGCGTCCGACAGACTTTCTTGGAAAGGAAGAACATAAGTTCTACAAAGGTAAGGATGTTTAAACCCTAAATCGATATTAAACCTTTGTTCTCTCCGTTTTTACGATCTAGGTTCGAGAATTCCTTGAAGCGAGGCAGATTCGTACATTTAATTCTTCAGTAATTTATATTTTATTGATTGAACGCCATAAATTAAAATTTAAGTTTTTGCTTAATGTCTCTTCATTTGATCAACTTGGGATATAAACAAAATGAAGCTGCAAAATTATACTGAGGAAATTTTTTGTTGTTATATTTGTGTAGTTAAAGGGACCAATTTTTTAATGGATCTTATAGATATAAGCTCAATCTTCTCTGGAATATATTCAGAATGAGCTTATCTTAAACAGGTTCTCTTGTTTTTTATTTTTTAACTATGAAAAGCTACTCAAAGATTTCGAGTTCTCTGAACTCACCACTTATTAGAAATAATGTTTTTAGGTTCAAGGGAGAAAACAAATGGATCCATTTGAAATATAGAGCATCAGATTTCAGAGGCATGTGAACAAAGAGCTCTATTCAAAACAAAATGTGTTTATAAGATTTCGTGAACAATTATTTATCTAAGTATATATTTTGTACTACCAATAACATTAGTGATTGCATTTAAACACTGAGAATAGTGCTTCAACACTAAGAATCAAATCCATCCTATCAACAACTATCAACAAAATCATGCATCAACAAAGGCAATGTATTTGATCCTACGATGATTGTAAATGCCTTTCTTCATTGGTTAGAATGGTATAGAAGCAATAGCAATATAAGAGTTTAAAAAGCTGTGCATTTACTCTTTGATGTTCAAAGAAGCATTAAAACACTAAAAGAATTTTAATTCAAAAAATAATCTCAATTATTCATAGTTATCTGAAGTTGTTGCTTCTAAACAGAGAACCTTTTATGAAGTTCAAAGTAGAAAACAGATTAGTCCTTCTGAAACAATAGATTTCATGCTGATGTTAATAAATAAAAGAATTTAGCAAACCCACAAAGTTTCTTGTTCAAAGCAAAAAAATTCTTTAAAAGACTGTTCATGTGAGCACGTTCACATAATCTGTATTATTTACTCTTTGATCAAAGCTCTAAAACACTAAAAAACATAAAGCACATGCACCAAAGTATCAACTTTTGAGTACCTTCCACAGCCTCCATCTCCACTGCATTCTCCATGGTTACTTCACACTACTTATTCAAATATAGAATTAAAGAAGCCATTTTTTCAAATTCAACCTGCAGATACATTAAACTTGTTTTTTTTTACTGAAGAACAATTGAAAACATATCGAAGTAAAGTCCAGCGAATCAAGTGAAATCGTGCACAACAAATGTATTGATATGCCAATAACTTAGGTGTATACTCCCTACGTGATATGAATGACTTTAAGGATGTTTTATGCCTAAATCCATCAAGCCACTCATACATTATCTCATTAATTAAAGCTGTGTTATTAAAAAAATTGCAATCTTTGCATATTATTTACTCCGTAGTATGTTTGGGGTTGTCTTCATGCTTATTTACATCCCAATGTAAAGCATTGTGAGATATACAGCATCTCTATTTTACTACCTATATCATTAATTATATAGAAACATTTATTTTTAAGTATTATATATTTATATTTGATATGAATGGCTTCAAAAAGTATTTAAAAGAAAAGAATGAGATTTTTGTGATCTATTTTTCATGTTTTTATTTTTGTCCATATTTACATGTATATCAGAAAAAGAAATAAACAGTAAGTTGTTATTTTGGAAATACCCACCAGGCCACCAGTGAAAAAAAATTGTATATAGTTTACATATAGATATTCAGTGACCTCTGGTGAAATTTACCTTTTATTTAAAAAAAAGTTCTTAGGTCTAATCTTGTGGAATTCTAATCCCGATTCAGGCTCATAAATCTCGTTCCTGTTATCACCACCAAGCTTTTTAAAACTCTTCCTCCTCCTCTGGTACACGACCCAAGTCCTCTCTTGCCTTCAAGTTTCAGTCAGACCAGAAAATTAAGAAAATGTAGTTTTTGGGGCCCTAAACGTCACTTTTAAGATTGAATTGTATGTGAGGCATGAGATTTTGAGTTTTGGCTCTATGTTGGTGTCATCTGCATCTCTCTTCCGTTTCTGTTTTTTTTTTTGTTTTCTATCCTCTACTGCTTGGTGTTGTCATTATCCGCCGACTCCCAAGTGTCGCTTCGTTGCCGATCGACCGACATCGCAACATCGTGCTCTCTGGCGCTGTCCTCACCGATGACCGGCGTCGTTCTTCAGGTATCATCTTCTCTCCTCCGATTCCCTTCTAATTTCTATACTCCATGTCTCTCAGCCTCACTCTCTCGTTCCTTCTCCTTGTCTAAGTCTCTCCCTTTCCTCTTCCAATTTCTTTTATGAAATGATGTTTGCTCTCCTTGTATGAATTTTTAACTGTGTCATAAGTTGTGATTTTTTTGGACATGAGAGGGCAGCGACCCAGTGAGACTATTGAGATTCCCTGTTGCGCTTTTCAATGCTATTTTGTGGACTGTTTGGGCTATTTTAATTTTTAGGGTACTTGGTTATCGTGCGATTAATTGAATTAAATGTGGGTTATTTGTAATTGGCATGCAATTATCCTAATGTCTTTAAAATTTAGAAAATTAATATATGTTGTGAATATTTTGAACATAAATACATGTATCTTACAATGAAATGAATTATACAAATAAAAATTGTAAAAATAAATTTGCCGCACTCATTGCCGCACCCGCGCCCTATTTTTTTAAAACATTTCCGCACCCGCACCGGTCGCTGCACCCGCACCTGTGCTTCATAGGGTGTGTGTTTGCAGACTTTGACCATATACACCATACTTGGTGTCCGTATGTTAGAGACCCTGGCTCAAACTAAATGCAGAAACAAAGTAAATAGAAAATAATGGCTTGTAGTATTTCCCAATGCTTTGTGTAGTTGCCATGGCAGCTAATTCACAAACACATAGCTTGGCAAAAAGATTGCTAGTCAAAATATTATTGGACTTGAGTTTTTTCCAAGCTAATGACCCAATAGTTGACATTGTTTTGTTTTATTCATCTACCTACCCTGCAGATAACATCAGTCACACATGGCTTTTGCTAGCACACTGCTGAGGACCTTCATACTTAAAGGTTCTCAAAGGCAATTTTTTCCCGTTTTTGTCCGAAAACTGCCATTCAATACAATCCCATTGCTCACTTCTCTTCACTCCCACCGGCTGCGAAGCCTCTGTGGCGACGCTTCCTCGCAATTGACTCCCCAGATCAAGAGTGAGTTAGAATTGGAATCAAATATGCAGAGGCGGTCCAACATTGTGGAGATTTTGGAGGAAAGGGGTTTGCTAGAGTCTATCACCAATGAGAACCTTCGTTCCATTTGCTCTGATCCTGCTCACCCTCCCCTCAAAGTCTACTGTGGTTTTGACCCGACTGCAGAAAGTCTCCATCTTGGAAACCTTCTTAGTCTTGTTGTTCTCGCATGGTTCCTTCGTTGTGGCCATAAAGTTGTCGCTCTAATTGGCGGAGCCACCGGCCGCATCGGTGACCCTTCCGGCAAGAGTTTAGAGCGACCCGAGCTCGATATTTTAAAACTGGAACAGAACATTGCTGGAATTTCTGCCAACATTCAACAAGTACTACTGTCTGCAGATTCAACCCATCTTAATTCGAGTATTCATATTCTAGACAACTATGACTGGTGGAAAGATGTGAAATATCTTGATTTCTTGCGCATTGTTGGTAGGTTCGCAAGAGTTGGTACTATGATGTCCAAAGAAAGTGTGAAGAGGAGATTAGAAAATGCAGAGCAAGGAATGAGCTATGCAGAGTTCTCCTACCAATTGTTGCAGGGTTATGACTATGTGCATTTGTTTGAAAATGAAGGTGTCACAGTTCAAATTGGTGGCAGTGATCAATGGGGGAATATTACAGCAGGAACAGATCTTATTCGCAAGGCAATCCGAAAAGCTTCTGAGGTTGAGGTTTCTCCTGTGGCTTATGGCTTAACATTTCCCCTTCTCCTCAAGAATGATGGGACCAAGTTTGGGAAATCTGAAGAAGGAGCAATATGGCTGTCTCCTTCACTTTTATCTCCTTACAAGTTCTATCAGTATTTCTTCTCTGTTCCTGATTCTGATGTGGTGAGGTTTCTCAAGATTCTTACCTTTCTTAGCATTGACGAGATTGATGAGATCAAAGATCAAATGGTGAAGCCTGGTTATGCTCCTAATACCGCACAACGTAGATTGGCAGAGGAGGTTACACGATTTGTTCATGGGCAGGAGGGATTGGATGAGGCTCTTAAGGCTACAGAAGCCTTGAGGCCCGGCAATGCAGATACTAGGTTGGAGTGGAAAGCCATAGAGGGTATTGCTGGGGATGTTCCATCATGCTCATTGCCTTATGATCATGTCTTGAATATTTCACTTTTGGATCTGTCGGTTTCTAGTGGTTTGCTGGAGAGTAAGTCCGCTGCACGGAGAATCCTCAAACAAGGAGGACTGTACTTGAACAATATCCGGGTTGATAATGATGCTAAGAAGATTGAGGAGGACGATATTTTGGATGGGAAAGTTTTGCTTTTGGCTGCAGGGAAGAAGAACAAGATGGTTGTGAGAATTTCCTGATCTGCAGCAGCTGCTGCTGGTGCACTGTAAACTATATTTTTATTTCATTTGTTTGCGAAGACAAATTTATCAATTTATCATCACCAGTAAAATAGATAAACCCTTTTTGCCTAGTTTTATAGCTTGCACAAGTTTATGTGGTTTCCAACATCTTTAACATTCATTTTCTGTTGTCTTATGCATAACTTTTTGCTTCTACCTGAATTGACTACTTATGTCACCACAAATTCTTGCTTTCAACTAGCAATTGCAGGGTGGAGTACATTGTGCATCTTTTGCATAGTTTTTGGTTCTTTCATAGGAAAAGTTAACCTTCTATTCATATTGATTTAATGACCAATGCATTACTTAAAGTTTAAATATCAAAGTAATACTTCAAAAAAAATACAGTATTTTTTAAAAAAGTATTACTTTTAACATTTTAATCATTACATTTGGCTACTATGTCCTCTTGTCGTTCTACTTGATATTTGTGCTGCTTGAGTTGGGGGTCTCTTGGAAACAACCTCTCTACTTTTAGTAGGGGTAAGGTCTGCGTACACACACCCTCCGCAAGTTGTTGTTGTTGTAATCATTACATTTGGCCACTTCTCGCCGCTAGACTGCCTCAGAGTAGACAACTGTAATCTTTATAACCATAAGCACTTTTATCGGTAATCTAGCAAGAGTTTTTACAATTGGAAACTATGTCAATTAGTGCTAATGTATCAATACTATCTGCAAATGATTTAGCTAACCAGAATGCCTACATTCTTGATTGCTTCAGGTATCTTTTATGCTGGATACTTTTGCGATGGCTTTAGCTTTTGCTACCTTTGCCACTTCATACAAGTATACAACAACAATAACAACAACCCCAAAAAAATTCCACAAGAGTTGAGTCTGGGGAGGATGTGTGCACGTAGACCTTGGCACCTTGCCTTACTTGGAAGTAGAGATGCACCTTTACTGCTTCATAAATCATTAAAATCTAGTGATGTGACTGACTTGCTGAACATTAAAATACAATACAACAACATTACCCTTGTGCCTCAAAGGCTCCCACCCATTTGGGGGGGGGGGGTTGGATGTATGACTAAGAGTTACTCCAATATCAAAAGAAGCACCTATAATATAAGAACCATTTTGATTTATTTGCTCTTACTCCAAAGCCAAATAATAGTGGATATTTAGATCCTTCGGTGAAGATGGAAGTTGAACATCAGAATAGAATCATTACATAAAATTTAGTTGTGAATCTTGTTTACTAATGGTGGGGTTGTGGATGCAGCAGTGGGATCTAGGGTAGTAGAGAGTGAGTGTCGTAGGAAGGGCAGTGACTGGATTCCGGCAGGTTGCCAGATGGATTGAGCAGATTCATCCTTTTACCTTGCTCCTCTTGGTGGTCTTTATATGCCAGCATTTGCAAGGTATGCTTAAGATTTGCTTGGATTCTTCATCATTTCATACAATTTGCTAGGTGTTCTAATGCAACTGTTGTTTATGATATGAATTGATTGGAATGATTATTATATTTGATGATATCTACTAGTTTGATTTACTTGGTTGTGTTGCATTGTTGTGCCGTTATTCATGTTTATACATATTGATTTGAGTGATTATTTAATTGAGTGATTTTTAACACTATTTTTTCCAATATTTTCCAACTTCCAACCTATCCATTTTTTTTCAATTTTTTACAGCTTCACCCAGTTTTATCCGATTTCTTCTAGTATGTTTAACTTATTCCCAATTCAAGAATTGAGCCTTAGCCAAAAATACGTCCATCCACGCAAATCGCTGGTCAGCAATTGGCACCCCGGATGACCGCATCCTTGCATTAGCCAACTTAGTGAGACGCTACGCCACAACTTAACGCCGCCGCCGCCTCCGGCATTGCTCTAGCAGTTCGCTGCTCCAGCCTCCAGACACCTTCAGTGCTTCGCATTTGCTGCTAGAGGCTCTTCCTAAAATCTCAATTCTCAAGTCAGGTTTTTGCCTCAAATTTTGTTTTAGGAGCCTACATATTTCGTATTTTAAAATTAATTTTAGACATTTATTTATTATGGTTAATGATGTGTCATTTGTGAGTTTATGATTTGTGGATTTGTGACGTATGGATTTGTGTTTTGTGATTAGGTTAATTCCATATGGTTCTATGATGGCTTGTTTTTTTTCCTACTCCGTATTTTTTAATCAGTTAAGTGCTCATTAGAGGAAACTTGTTAATTTTTTAATTATTTGAATTTAAATTTAGGATGCAAAGATATATTAAAAAGACACCATGATTCAAAGAGCATGAATCAAATGAGTATGTATCTCATTTGAATTTGAGTGTTTCATCATCGGCCCAGATTTGATCCCTCCACAGACAACCCCTAATTTAATTAGTAAGTTAGTTGTTCAAACTTTTCTAATCCTAATTGTATCTGATTATCTTCCTAATTTTATCCATTTATCCATTTTTCACAAATTCAGGTGTTTTGGTATTTGTATGTATTGCTGAATTCTGTTTCATATTCTTATCAATAAATTAACAAAACCTACAAAACTACATTAGGCACCTTTTATTAATCAATAGGAAGTTAATATTCCAAGATGGACAAGAACATGAAAACAATTGCAACAAATCCTAAACCCCTGCAAGAGGGGTGTGCTATGAAGCACGGGTGCTTTAAAAATCAGACTCACTAAGCACCGTGTGGGTGCGGGTGCGCTGTGGGTGTGGCGGGTCCGCGGGTTATTTTTTTATTTTAGGGAAAGGCAATTTTGTAGAGATTGAAAGAATTTGGGGCCAGAATAAAATAAATGATTTTTTTAATAAATTAAATGAATTGGGGAGTAAGTCAGACCTAGTTAGCACGATCGTTCGATAAGGAGAGAGACTCTGCCAACTCCCAAATGTCCCTTCGTTGCCGAACGATCGACGTCGCGGCATCGTGCTCTCTGGTGCTGTCCTCATCGGTGACCGGCGTCGTTCTTCAGGAATCATCTTCTCTCCTCCGATTCCCTTCTAATCTTTACACACCATGTCTCTCAGCCTCTCTCTCGTTCCTTCTCCTTGTCTAAGTCTCTCCTTTTCCTCTTCCAATTTCTTGTATGAAATGGTGTTTGCTCTTCTTGTATGAATTTGTAACTGTGTCATAAGCTTGGTTTTTTTGGATATGAGAGGGCAGCGACCCAGCGAGACTATTGAGATTCCCTGTTGCGCTTTTCAGTGCTATTTTGTGGGCTGTTTGGGCTATTTTAATTTTTAGGGTACTTGGTAATTGTGTGATTTATTGAATAAAATGTGGGTTATTTGTAATTGGTGTGCAATTATCCTAATGTCTATAAAATTAGGATAATTAATATATGTTGTGAATATTTTGAACATAAATACATGTATCTTACAATGAAATGAATTATACAACTAAAAAATGTGTAAATAAATTTGCCGCACCCGCACCTTTTTTTTTTTTTTTGAAAATTTCTGCACTTGCGCACGGGTCGTGCACCCGCATCTGTGCTTCATAGCATCAAACTATGTTACAAATCTAATAACTTACAAATCACTTGAATTGTGTGTGTGTGTGTGTGTTGATTATTGAAACTTGTTTCTGTTATCTTATTTCCAGTGAAAGACTTGGGAGCCGTATGTGCAATGGAAGCAAGTATAATTTCTAGCAAGATAGTTCCTCCCTGTGCTCATAGCGACATGGGACAAGGGAAGAAGAATGATGTGTGTATGCGCTTCATGAATATCATTAAACATGATGTTTATGTTGAATGGTTCAAACTTGACATTAGCAGTGGGGATTTATCTTCGACTTTCGAGCTGAAGACCACAGATATTGCCTATGCAAGTTCCAGTGTCGTTACCTTGGGCTCTGTCATCTATGTTATTGGTGGTTTGAAACTTATTGGTGATGAAAGCCCACGCGATGTTTATTATTTTGACAGTCCACCCTGAATATCGTTGGTGCAGAGCCGCTTCTTAGTTGGCGCCTAGGTCCTTGCCTTATTCCCTTCTTTTCAATGGCAAGATTTATGTCTTTGGAGGAGGCTTATACTATGGTCCCTTTGCTGAGGTTTATGACCCACTCAAAAACTCATGGGAAGCCTTGCCTAGTCCACCTGATGCTTTAGGAATAAAAAAGCATATTCATCCCTTTCATTCTATGTTTGACTGATTCTGGTGGTTGTTCTAATCCAAGAGTTCTGCTCCAATCTTGTAAAACCAATGCCCTCCATGCTTATCATTTTGGTAATAGAAGATGGTCCAAGGTCGATGATTCCAAATTGGGTGAAGTCCATTCCCAGGCTATAGTAGTGGATGATGTGTTGTTTAGTTTTTCATCCGATTGGGAATCAATATCAATGCATGCTTTCTGTTTGCAGAGTAACATATGGCTGCCCTGCTCTTTCAAGGAACCACATATAATTCTTTATCCTGGTTATGTAAAGCTTGTTGATTTGGGAAAGGGCAGGATAATTTTGGTTTGGTGTAGTCTTGAAGAAATACACAAATCGACTTTGGTATGTGTGACGGTAAGAGTTGAAGTTCTTAGGGATGATGCACGGGTTCCTATCAGTGTTTCCGCAACCCAAGAGTCTGTGGCTTATTTTCCACTTGAACGAAAAGTATCTCCCCAAAACATGGTTTGTGTTCTAGGTAATACTCTGTAATTTTTATTTTCCACTAATCTCTTTTTTTCCCTTGTACTTGTATGTTATTTTAATTTGGGTATGAAATTTCTAATTTGCAATTGCAGCTTGATGATCCTACTCATTAGAAGTTCAGGGTAAAGTGATTTTCTTTTTTTATATATGTTTGCATCTTTGTCATATGGAGTTGCTGGTTGTTAAGTGATTTACATTGAGGAAAAATACAGGTGGTTATGTCGTTCATGAGTATAGAGGAGGCTTATTACAACAATTTCTCTTATGGGGTGGTATTTTTATATGTCAAACAAACTCCACTCCCTACTTAAATTGCTTCCGTACTCTCTGGTTTGTTCTCTGGAGGAAATATACCTGCAAAACAAGACTTATCCTTCAGGTTAAAAATCCACCCCAAATTTTATATTTCCAAGATTCCAACCTAAAATCACCCACTCAAACTACATTGCAAAATATACTTTGAGTCCGTTTGGTATACGGAATTGACGGAATTGGAATTGAATTGGAATTGAGATTTCATGGATTCAATTCCATAGAATTGAATTCTGCCAATTCTAATTCATTTTTTGCGCTATCAATTCCTAATCAACATAATTTTTGTGCTACCAAACACCAGAATTGGAATTGAAGTCTTCAATTCTAATTCCATAGTTTGAATTCCATGTACCAAACGGGGCCTTTAGATGCATTCTAAATTGTTTCTATATTTCAAATATTCAAAGTACCCTCAATCCGCCTAGATCTAATATTCAAAGCATCTAAACATTATATGTTTTGAGTGGAAAAGGACACAATACGAATGGCATACATCTAATATGACTGTAATGTTTATTTCTCAATGCTTTAATAAGTCTCACTCCAAAATTTCACCATTTTTTGGCTTTGGGGTGTGATGGAATAAATCAAAATGGATCTCTAAACTGTCTGCGCTTCTTTAATTAATGAAGTAGCAGTTAGTCAAGCAATGCAACTTTCGACGTTGAGTCGGGGGTCTCTTTGGAAACAGCCTCTCTACTTTCGAGTAGGGGTAAGGTCTGCGTACACACACCCTCCCCAGACCCTACGCTTGTGGGATTTAACTGGGTTGTTGTTGTTGTTTAATAAGTCTCACTTCACTTTCCTCTACAACTGTATATCTCTTTGATCCTTATCAATTATGCCAAAGGAAGGTAAACCTCACGTAGAATATAAATCTTCGACACGTTTAGATGGATTTATTAGTCCATGAATGTGTTCTTTCAAAATGAACTCTACACCGGTATATGGTACCTTAACCCTATTATTGTTTCTTATAAGACTCAAATACAATAAGGTCCCGTTTGGTACATGAAATTCAAACTATGGAATTGGAATTGAGGACTTCAATTCCAATTTTGGTGTTTGGTAGCACAAAAATTATGTGGATTAAGAATTGATAGTGCAAAAAATGAATTAGAATTGGCGGAATTCAATTCTATGGAATTCAATCTCATGGAATTTCAATTCCAATTCAATTCCAATTCCACCAATTCCGTATACCAAACCGACTCTAAGAAAACTTCTCTATCATGTCAATTACCTATCAGGAGAGATAACCCTTCTGCTCATCTACACCTGTATTTGGTGGCAATGCTACATTACAGTCACTTATTTGTGAGGTTAATTATGGAACTATGAAAGTTGTCCTTCAACATCTCTTTAATCCCTTTAAATTTTACACCCACACGCACACACACGCACACATAATATTATTTCACACAAATATATTATTTCATACATAATATTTGACACATTTAATTATCACATAATTAAAATTTCAATATATTTATTTAATATGTATGTCACACGTCCCATTTTACATCATTTTCATTTAATTTTTTACTCGGTTCAATTGTTCTATGTGTGTAACCCTTCTAGGTATTCATAACGACGACAATAGTATTAATCACAATTAATACTATACACGATAAGCGGTATCTAGCAACACATTATCGCTACCCATGTTATAAACACAAAGTTGATTGCAGCAATATCTCCAACGACACATATCATTTGTACAACTCTTATCTCTTTATCACTAATGTCTAGATTTAACACAAGTTATGAGAAGTGTAACCTTGTTAAAGTCAAATATTTGGTTTAATGATTTTCCGATGGACTTGTAAGATTCAGATCACATTAATATCACATACTCCCTCCGTCTGGAAAAGAAGTTCCTGGTTTGACTATTCTCCATTTTTAGTGGAAGTTGACTTTGTCTACAATTTGTCCAAAATGCCCCTAAAGCCCATTCCTTCACAACAACTGATTGCTTGCCGCACCAAACAAACCCCAAGCTACGGAACTCATTGCCGCACCAAACAGACCCCAGCGCGACGGATCTACTACACAATCCGAGCAATCTCTCCCTTTCTCTACTGCGCAAACCAGGCCCAAGGCAAATCTCTTGCCGCACTAATGGATCTCCAGATTTTGTAGATCTGAAAAAACGAGACCCAAACTCTGGTAAGAAGAAAATGACAAAAAGAAAATACTTTTTTTATTGCTACGTCTAATTTGAGTTTCTAAAGTTTTAATCTTTTATAAAGATGAGATATTTTAATAAAAATCCTATCTCTTCTATATATTGAATATTTATATTTAATTACTTTTTAATGTATATATATCAATCAAATATTTATTCTAATGTATATATGAAGTAATTATTAAAATATTAAATTAATAATCTAATTTTACAAAAAGTAATCATAAAATAAAAAATATTACTCCATTATAATATGAATGATTATTCTAATATATGAATTAACTAATTTTATTTTATTTAAAAATAATCATAAAATAAAAATATTAATTATATTATTATATGAATTATCATTACAATTTTCAAACATTATTATAAAGTCAAGTCAAATATTAATTTGGATTTTAAATCAAATCATAATTGATCAGATCAGACCAGATCAGATTAGAAACAATCAGATCAGATTAGATCCAATCAGATCAGATTAGATCAGATCAGAACTACAAACAATCAGATCAGATCAGAAAAATAAGTTGAATGGAACGGAGCCTAAGGCCCCGTTCCATTCAACTTATTTTCTCTTATTTTTTCTTATTCTTATTAATATCAGATCAGATAAGACTAGATCAGATCATATCAGATTCAATTAGATCAGATCAGATTCAATCAGATCAGATTAGATCAGACCAGACCAGATCAGATCACATCCAATCAGATCAAATCAGATCGAATCAGATCAGACTAGATCAGATCTCATCAAGAATTATTATTATTATTATTATTATTATTATTATTATTATTATTATTATTATTATTATTAAAAATGAAAAAGAATAAACTTTAGAAACAAGTTTAATAGAAAATTGAGAAAGTAATCCTTAATTATTAGATGTCGAAAAAATTATTTTTAAAATACATTGACAATGTCAATCTAATTTTTACTTTTAAAATACATTTTTATTGCTATCTGTAGTTTGAGTTTCTAAAGTTTTGATCTTTTGTAAGGATGAGATATTTTAATAAAAATACTATCTCTTATATATATTGATTATCTAAATTTAATTACTTTTTAATGTATATATGAATTAAATAATTAGTCTAATGTATATATGAAGTAATTATTAAAATATTAAATTAATACTCTAATTTCACAGAAAAATAATCATAAAAAAAATATTATTACATTATAATATTAATGATTATTCTAATATATGAATTAACTAATTTTATTTTATTAAAAAATATTCATAAAATAAAAAATATTGATTATATTAAAATATGAATTATCACTACAATTTTCAAACTTTATTATAAATTCAAATCAAATTATTGATTTGAATTTTAAATCAAATCATAATTAACCAGATCTGATCAGACCAGATCAGATCAGATCAGATCCAATCAGATCAGATCAGATCAGATCGAATCAGATCAGATCAAATCAGATCCAATCAGATCAGATCAAATCAGATTCAATCAGATCAGATCTCATCAAGAATTATTATTATTATTATTATTATTATTCTTAAAAATGAAAAAGAATAAACTTTAGAAACAAGTTTAATAGAAAATTGAGAAAGTAATCCTTAATTATTAGACGTCGGCAAAATTATTTTTAAAATACATTGACAATGTCAATCTAATTTTTACTTTTAAAATACATTTTTATTGCTACCCGAAATATGAGTTTCTGAAGTTTTGATCTTTTGTAAGGATGAGATATTTTAATAAAAATACTATCTCTTATATATATTGATTATCTAAATTTAATTACTTTTTAATGTATATATGAATTAAATATTTATTCTAATGTATATATGAAGTAATTAATAAAATATGAAATTAATACTCTAATTTCGTAGAAAAATAATCATAAAATAAAAAATATTATTACATTATAATATTAATGATTATTCTAATATATGAATTAACTAATTTTATTTTATTAAAAAATATTGATAAAATAAAAAATATTGATTATATTAAAATATGAATTATCACTACAATTTTCAAACGTTATTATAAAGTCAAATCAAATTATTGATTTAAATTTTAAATCAAATCATAATTAACCAGATCTGATCAGACCAGATCAGATCAGATCCAATCAGATCAGATCAAATCTAATCAGATCAAATCAGATCCAATCTAATCAGATCAGATCAGAAAAAATAAGTTAAACGGAACGGAGCCTAAACCAATCAAGAAATTGGGTTTGTAAAGGATGAGATCTACACCAAGTGAACGAAGCAAAATATATACTCCCTCCGTTTGGAAAAAGTGTTTCTATTTTGACTTTGTGTAAAAATAAGGAAGTATTAAATTGTAGTTGACTTCCAATTTTGCCTTTGATGTGATAGGTAAAAGTAAAATGTGATGGATAGATTATTAGAGAAAAAGTATGATGTGATAGGTAGGGTATGAAAAAGTAAGGGTAAAAGTGGTTTTTTAATAGAAAGTGGAAGTGTTTTGTTGAAAGTGAAAAAAATGAAAGAGGAAGTGTTTTAAAAAACGGAGGGAGTATATAATACTCTTCTGTCCCGTGAAACATGAGACTTTTACTTTTTAAGAGTGATTTAAGGGTAATGTATTTTGGTATTGAATTTCCAAAAATGTCCTTTGATGTATGGGTAAAAGTATGATTTGATGGATAGATTATTAATAAAAAGGTATGATGTGATAGGTAGGGTATGAAAAAGTAAAGGGTAAAAGTAACTTTTTAATAGAAATGAGAAGTGTTTTGTGGGACGGATGAAAAAAGAAAGGAGAAAGTTTTGGGACGGAGGGAGTATATTAGAAAGAACTAACGTACAATTAACTAAAATGTTGAAGGGATTGTTCCTCTTATCTAAAGTTTTTCTCAACAAAATCAATATATGGCCATACCAAAATAGGTAAAACTACATGAATATGAGTCGAACAAGCCATAAAATACGTGTGTGAACGTGAGGAAAATTCTTTCCTTCATCTCTTCTTCTTGTGTGTCACAATGGATTGTTTTGTATATTCGAACCTGAAATATAATAATCCTGAAATCAAAGAAAGAGAGTGAAGGGATGTTCTGAAAAGAGATCACAAATTACAATAGCTTGTCAACAATTCCACGTGAATGAAGAACGCATGAAAGGGAAGGGGACGATATAGCACATATCGAAGTATTTAAAATGTGTGCGCATAGCACAAATAACAACATTTTTTTGTAAATGTGTGATGAAAAGTGCTAAACGAACCCCAACCTTGCCCCTTCCTTCAAACAAACAACCCCAGACAAGGGACTCACAAACATGCTTTTGTTTGGGAACCCCTTGTGTGTGAGCATTGGTATGAAGGAAAAATAATATGGGGCAAACTTGGAGGTACTCTAGCAAGGTTTGTGCATAAATCACATACACAAAAGTTTGTGCTACCTTTATTTTTTTATTACTTATTCTTACATTAGTCAAAGACTCAAAGCATGCCAGACTTGAAAATTTTACACACATTTCAAACACGAAAATTATGCAAGATCAGTCCTACCAGAACCAAAAAATTCCAGACCATATGTTTGGGCCTTTGGGGACGACCATTTCTGATCTATACATAAAGAAATGATTTGGGACGTCATTTACATGAATAAAAAAATTATAAAACTCTTTTCGTAAAAAAAAAATAAATTATTTTGAATGTTTCGTTGATGCTTTAGGATTGTTTTCCAAAGTAAATAAAATGTGTAATCTAACTTAAAAGAAAACATATACCCAGAGCATTTCAAAGAAGAAATTGCAGAGTTTATGCATGATTATAATGAAAAAACATGTCAGTATCCCTGTGTTTTTTCTCTCTAGTATTTACAGGTATCCTTCCGTGTTACATGCAGTAGCATTGTAACAAGAAAAGATTATGACACGAATCACAATGCCAGAGCAAGAAATTGATTATTCCATAAACAACTCTTTCCTTTCTTCTTTCTCTATCAAGAAACAAGAGACTTGCTAATCCTAGTCTGGCTCTACTAGACTATGATTCACCGAGTTGGATAATACATCAACGACTATATACAACTCCTAAACACAGCACTTATGTTAATCAATGAGGCAAACAACACCAAGGACCACCCAACAAAATCCCCCGAGTGGAACTTGGGAAATAATAGGCGAGGCTAAGAGAAAAACAAAATGAAGTTGTGTAAAAGAATCAAACTATGATTCAAATCTCCAAGTTACCAAATGAATCACACATAAATCATGGTTCTTAAAAGAAAATTGTGTATGATCTTATGATCTTAGTAATTCTTGATGATAACATTTTATTTCTACAGAGCTATGAGTTTTACAAGAACACGACGCTAATGTTTCTGAGGAAGCAACCTTGATGATGACTACTAGCATTCATAATTGCATGTTATTCAACTAATGTACACACATTTATCAAAGGATTAGAAATAAAACTTCAAAATAATTCAAAAAGTCCCACTTACAGAATCATGAATCAGTCAGAGCGCTTGTAGGAGACATGCTTCCTAGCAGCTCTCGCATTCTCGTATTCGAATTTCAATACGTTGGGGATATCCGAGGTGTCCTTCACATAAAAGAACCTCCCAAATGTGCTCTCTTCCATAGCCGGAAAATGGCATTTGATTTGAGAATTGACCACCCAAAACCAGGCGCCGCCGAGCACGGCCCCAAGAGCCGCCCCGGCAAACACCTGCGCCACCGTGTGATAACCTAGATACACCCTGGAATAGAGAGTGAGAAGCGATAACGGCCAGATCAGGAAAAGGACGACCCACATTTGGTACCGAAACAGGGAACCTAGCCTCCGGCGGGTGAGTAGGGTTAGGTAAACGGCGAAGAAGAACATGTACTGGGAGTGGCTGGAGGGCCATCCGTGGGAATCGCACATCTCGAGGAGGGCGCAGGTGTCGGGTCGGGCCTGCTGGACCGATTTCTTGATGATCTCGTTAACGAATTGCGAAATGAGCAATCCGAACGCGAAGAAGATGCCCTGGAGCTCGCGGCGGAAGACGATGTGGGAGACGAAGCCGCCGAGGCTGATGAAGACGGGGACCAGCGAGATCCAGGCCAGGAAATGCCCCAGTTGATCGCCCTTCCGGTACCGGACGTGCGTGAGAGTCACCGCCTTCAGCGGAACGGGAGACATGGCGGATTGCGCGCTTGGGGACGGGGATGAGATTGTACAGAATCACAGCAGAGGGAAAGCTAAAAGCCTTTGACGAAGGAAGATTGAATGAAATCAACGGATGATCGCCAAGAAGCACGGAGAGAGCTGATAATTCCAATTTGTTGTTATGGTACTAGCCTACTACTCTACTAGGCGTCTAGGCTACTCAATTCCATCATTTTGATTTTTTTTTTTGGGTGCCAAATTAGACTAATTTTGATGTTTAATTAAATAAAAATTATAATTTCTTTTAGTATAAAAAGTATTTAATTAAATTTAATTACTGTAAGGCTTTCAAAATTTTATTTAACTGTATTGATATAATATAAATTAAAAATTATTGATGATTAAAATTTATTCTATTTGACTCAAGAAAATTATACAAGGTATTAAACTAATATCTTGAGAATCTCTAAGAGTTGAAAATTTATTCTATTTGACTCAAGAAAATTGATATTCGAGCCCAATCACTCGAAACTGAGATCAAAAGAACCCGAGAAATGAAGATTTAATTTATAATAAAATATAAAAAATGATCGAAAACGAACTAGATATATACATATTGATTTAAATGTGAAATCGATTAACTATTTTGATTAGGGGTGTTCAATCGGATCGATCCGATCCGATCCGATCCGAAAATTCGGATATCCGAAAATTTCGGATCATGTAAAACTCATTCCATATCCGATCCGAAAATATTCGGATATCCGAAATTCGGATATCCGATTTTTCGGATCGGATTACTGGATTATCCAAAAAGTTGAGTTTTTAGCCAAAATTTACAAAAAAAAAAGGTAAAATAGCAAAATCAACCCAAAATATCAAATTCAATATAGATTTACTAAAAGAAAAATTTCACCACTAAGTAATGGCCTAATAAAAAAATAATATCAAATTTAATTTGGGAGTAACTTTGGTAATTTTGCCTAAACAAACAAAAAAACATTATTAAAACTAAAGATTCTAAAATGCTAATGCAAAAAGTCCAAAATGGTTGAGTTCCAAAATCAACATAAACTTACATTTAAACATATAGTCATAATATATATCCATAAAATTCCAAAAATATAAAGCAAAAAAAAAAATCGGATATCCGGTTATCCGAAAAATTCCAGAAATTGAATCCATATCCGATCCGATTTTTTTTCGGGTATCCGATCCGAAATATCCGAAAGCTAAAATATCGGATCGGATATCCATTTTTCGGATCGGATCGGCCCGGATCGTGGACGGATATTTCGGATCGGATATTTTTGAACACCCCTAATTTTGATAAGCTAAACTAGTCAAATTTAGTCGAAGTCATTCAAAAAGCCAAATCACAAATATGTCTTTACTCAGTATACTTTCTGCATCTGTCATACATCTTTTCAAATATTTATTTTGTATGCCTAAGAAAGGTCTTTTCATTATCTTTTTTTACATTTAAAATATCACAACTAGCTCACTTACTTTATAATTTTTACAATCTTTATTGTAATGTTTCAACAATTAATAACTATATTTTCTATATAAAATACTGTATATATTAGTCTATCTGTTCTAAATAGATTGTTACGTTTTAATTTTTCTGATCAAATTGTGTAATACTTTAACCAAAAATTAAATATAATTTAAAATGAATAAAAGTTAAAAAAAATACTTGGTATATCAAAAATTTGTTTTAAAAAATTAATTTACTTTTGCTAAATTTATTTTATTATTAATTTTTTTTACAATTTGTCCATACAGTGTTACATAATTTGACCAAAAATATCAAATTGTGAAATCTTTTTTAGAATAGAGACAATATAAAAATATAATATTTTAAAACTACCGAGTATGTTTTAAAACAATATTTTTTGAACATTAAAGGGGTGTATTCAATTAAGATTTTGACAGATTTTTTTTATATTTTAAAAGTCAGTAAGTATTCAATTGAAATTTTGAAAATATATTATTTAAAATCTGAATATATTCAATTGAGATTTTAAAAATATATTCAAAGTCTGTATGTATTCAACTGAGATTTTTAAAAATTCTTTTTCAAGGATTTTTATAAAATATAAATTGTGAAAGATTTTTAGCTAAGTATAAATAAAAATTTAGATTGCAAATCCAACAAAAACGACGTCTCCGCCTTTCTTCATCTTCGCTTCTCCTCTTCCGCCATTCACTCCGTGTTCTTTCGGCCGCAACCTTGCTCCCAGCGACTGCCGTCCACTCTACCCCAACCCCACCGCGCCGATCCGCCTTCTTTCATGCTCTAGGTGAGACCATATCCTATTTTGCAATTTCATCTATTGGTCTCCGGCACGGGCCAGTTCGCAGGGGCTCCTACTAGTTATTGGTCGGCTGAGAATGACCGGGCAAAGCTCTGCCCCGACGGTTCCGTCTCTCTTAGGGATTAGGTTTTTTGATAGAAGATAGATGAATTGGGACGGGGTCGTGGTGATAGTACTATAACAATGATACGGACTGAGTTCATTGTCCAAACCGGTTATATGGGGGACTTGGTGATGAGTTTATATAGCCAAGGGTTCTCCCACCTTATCAGCTAGCTTTTAGGGTGTGATTCTCCATTGTGCTGTATCAATGGTATCAGAGCCAACTCGGAGTGGTGGCCTACGGAGTGGTGGCCTGGTGAAATCAGCCGTGACCAACGTGGCCGTGACCAATGTAGCCGTGACCAACGAGGATGTTGGGCCTTATGGGGGGTCGAATGATACGGACTGAGTTCATTGTCCCACACCGGTTACATGGGGGACTTGGTGATGGGTTTATATAGCCAAGGGTTCTCCCACCTTATCAGCTAGCTTTTAGGGTGTGACTCTCCCTTGTGCTGTATCAAACAACATTTATTTCTTTTTCGATATGGTTGCAGACTTTTATGTTTTGTTACTTCATACTCTCTGTTATCATTTGGTGGAACAATTTTGATCCATAAGTTGCATTGCCAAAAAAAAAAGTTGTGAAATTTTTGTGAGGACAGAGGAAGTATATACTTGTTGCTTTTATAATGATAATTAATATGTTCTTTTGTTGCCGGGTATTTGTTTGTTGATATTTTTCTGAATGCTGATAGTAATGATATTTCACTTTGATGGGCATACAAAATGGTAGAACCACCAAGGATTTATATGTGTTTTCAGAAAATCATTTCAAACAACTTATTTGACTTGTCAAATCATTGTTCCTACCAGAGGTACCAGTGAACCGCTGACGGTGTTCCACCATTAGAGATTGTTTGGACCTAAGATTGGGTGAGTTACTTAAACCACCTGAATATAAGTAGAAAATCTTTTGCGCTTTATTCAGTTAATTCTATATGAACCTAGTAACCTACACATTCTTCATGAGGTTTTTCATTTAGTCTGTACCATAGCGGCGTGCAGCTCAGTAATGGATCGGGATGCGTCTTTTCTGTTTGCTGGCACATATTTCAATCGCAAGAAGTTCACGGATGTTTTTGATAGATTCAAGGTACTTTTATGAGACACATCGCTCTTATTAAAAAAATTGTAAAGTGGTATAAAAGACAAGTTCTTTAAATTGTGTGGGGTAGTGTCCTAACTCCTAAGGGAACAAATTTAATTTTGATGAGTATTTGTAGTGTGAAACTGTGCATTAGTATATGTAGATCTTCATGTTTTGTGATTGCATAATTTTTAAGCTGACACAGTCCATTACCGTCCTTTTCTAGGTGAAAAAAGAAAGTGATGAATCATCAGAGAAATTGAGTTTGATTGACAATGGGAGTCCTAAGCAGGACGAGCATCCATCAAACTTTGTTAGTAAGAAAAGGAAGAGAAAACAAACATTTTCAGGTTATTTATGTTTTTGTTCATTTTCAAAAAGAAACAGGGGTATGGCATGGTGAATAACTGTTTTTTCTCGTTCTGTGGGTGTTATGGAATCAACTCCAGACCCAGTTGAAGGATTCAACGTCTTCACAAGTTCCAAAGCAAAAACCGAAGCTGATGGAGAAGAAGAGGAACATGTTGGAGGTGAAATTTTGGAGGGAAAGAAGGAATATTATAGGAAATTGGAGGTTCTTCTCATTTTCATCTAATTTTCTTTCACGGCTTATAGTTTGAAGTTGGAACATATATCTTACCTCTGTACGGAAATACAAAACGAGATTATGAACAAGCCTTTTTTCCTTGTTTGAATTGACATTTAGAGGGATGCAATTTTCCGTAAGAAACACAATATCCATGTTTCTGGGAGTAGTGTTCCTTCATGCATACAGAGCTTTACAGAGTTAAGATCAAGGTACTCTTGATATCTTCTAGTAAAGTCTCACATTCAGCGCAGCTAATGAAATTTGCTTTCGTGCATAATTTTCTGGATGTTAAATCTTCTTGGTTGTACAGGTTTGGATGTAAATCTTACCTCTTACGCAATTTGGCAAAACTAGGATTTAAAGAGCCAACACCCATCCAAAGGCAGGCTATCCCACTCATCCTAGCTGTATGATATCTTCTTGGCTATAATATTCAATTCACACTTTATTCTTTAATAATGGAGTCATCTACTGTAGTTTTATTTGTTTGAACTCTGTCAGGGACGGGAATGTTTTGCGTGTGCACCAACTGGTTCAGGAAAAACATTTGCCTTTGTTTGCCCAATACTTATGAAGTTGAAGGTACTGTAACAAACTGGCGTGTGCTACACTGCAATACATTTGAAAGGCCACTCTAACTCACTAATAATGGGTTCTATTGTCCAGCACACTTCCAAAGATGGTGTCCAAGCTGTAATTCTTTGCCCCACGAGAGAGTTAGCTGCTCAAACAGCAAGAGAATGCAAGAAACTGGCCAGAAAGGAATTCCATGTCAAATTGATGACAAAACAATTTACAAAAACTGCTGACTTTTCAGCACTGCATTGTGATATACTCATATCCACACCATTTCGGTTACAATCTGCTATTAAGAAAAGAAATCTTGATCTAAGCAGGTATGTTGGATCATAATATCCGAAGATGTGAGTTCTGCTTTGTTATATAAACAAGAAAAACCTTTTTTTTATGGAAAGACAGAGCGGTTCTACTTCATCTGGTCACAATGCTTTTAGGATGTCCCTAGGTGTTTCTTGAGTCTAAAGCAGTTTTTAGCTTTCCACCCACAGATATGTACCAAGATCTTTATAATTTATAGTCAGAAAGATGTAATATTGTAGCTGCATCCAGTAGAGTTGCTTAGAGTAATGAACCCCAGTGCTCAACAAATATTTGCCAACTCATCCACCCCTAAACATACACTCAAAACCCACCATTACAACCACCCTTAGTTCTCTAATTTAGAGATTATGTTAACCCAACAAATTTTCCAAATGAACCTTCGAAATATGTTTTTCCATAGTAGTCGGATAACGGTGATGGTGACATAGGTGGTCTGCACTAAGGGGTGTTTCCTATGGTTGTTGATGATTGAAATGGTTGAAGCCGGGCCTGGTGTTGCCAGATATGGCGGTGGGGTGGTTGCACCCATTGGAGGAGATTGCTAGCTTGGTGACCAGTGATAAGTGGCTGATGGTTTCTCGTGGTGGCATCTTACATGAGCAGAGTTTTGTGTAGTGGCAGGAGTCGGCCGCTGTAAGCAGGGATGAAAATAGTTGCCATTGTTGGTGGTTCCAAATTTTGGTGATTGGAATTGATAGTAGGTGCCACCGCCCAACAGCCGCAGCGTCTGCCCAAATTGCCAAAGGTCAGCATGTGTGGTGGTGACAATGCATAATACCATCATTTCCAAACGTCATCAGCATTTGGGGTATTGTTTTTGCATATGGGTTGCAATTGCCATAGCAGTTGCCAACGCCTAACGGTGGATGTGGTTTCCAGTGTGTGGTGGTGGAAGTGATTGTTATGACCCTTAGTGGCAGAGGCAGTCAACCTACTTCGAATGAGTAATTGGTTATTACTTTGGAAAATTACTTTGCATTTGGAAAGTATGAAATACGGAGTATAAAAAGTGTTCTTCAAATTCTAGAGAGGATAAATAAATATATCTGGTGATTTAAAAATATTTTTTCCCCATATATTCAATTTTGTCGGAAGACTTTACATTCTTTGAGTACTCTGCTATCTTAAGTTCCATTGTATAAATAACAGAATTATACTAACAAAATGTAATGCACTTTGATTTTATGTGGAAAAAATGAAATGCAAGAAATTAATATTTGCTTGCATATCCAGGGCTGAATTTCTAGTTTTGGACGAAGCTGATAAGCTTTTTGAGCTGGGATTGATGGATCAGGTTGATTTTGTGTTCAAAGCTTGCTCAAATCCTTCAATTTTGCATTTATTGTTCAGTGCCACTTTACCGGATGAGGTTGAAACCATTGCACGAACAATCATGCATGATGCAGTTCGAGTTATCATAGGGCGGAAGTAAGTATTATATATCTTTCTGAAAACATCTGAACTGGAATCAATATTGTCAAACTTTGATCCCTTGAAACTTGTACAGAAATTCTGCATCTGAAACAATTAGGCAGAAACTGGTGTTTGTAGGGAGTGAAGAGGGAAAACTTCTCGCTCTTCGTCAAACATTTTCAGAGGTATGAAAACTGTTACTACCTCTCTTGATTCAGTTTAGACCTTTTTTCCAAGCTTACCTTCTTCATATGAAAGAAAGCATGAAGAAAAATCGGTGTGTCTTTGTGATTCTACATACATCTTATATCCATCATATGGATTGGTCTTGTAGAGTAATCAACCATTGCACCTTGCTCAGTTGCTCCCTTTCTAAATAGAAAGGTCATGAACAAAGTTCTTCAATTTGTATGCATATATTAAACAGTATATATTCTGATTAGGTTCTTGATCCAGAAACAAATTTTTTCTTTTCTGAATTTTCGAATCAGTATTGTTGATGCTGCTTACTTCTAGTATGTATACTCGCATATGTTAAATAATGACTACCTTATTGATTTTGTCGCAGAGTTTAAACCCACCCATTCTATTATTCGTTCAAAACAAAGAGAGAGCTAAGCAGCTGTACAATGAGGTGAAGTTTGATGACATTCGAGCTGATGTAATACATTCGGATCTCTCCCCAAAACAGGCAAGTTTATATAATGGTTCATATTCCAATACTAATAGTCACAATTTTTTGAAACTTGTATTAGAGAGGTAGTGAGTATTGTTTGTATAAACTTGTGCCACAAAAACTATTTACAGAGTAAAATTGTCTTCTAACGAAAACTAATTAATCCAGAGAGAAAATGCTGTTGATAACTTCAGAGCCGGGAAAACATGGGTCTTAATTGCAACTGATGTTCTTGCCCGTGGTATGGATTTCAAAGGGGTCAACTGTGTCATCAACTACGATTTCCCAGATTCTGCTGCAGCATACATTCACAGAATTGGTATATAACCTGGGATTCCTTTCCGGCCTCCGGGTTTTCTTTCTTGTGTTTAGTCATGTATGTCATTATCCTTACTGGAACTGCGTTCTTTACCTCTAAAATAGGGCGATCTGGGAGAGCAGGAAGGAGTGGAGAGGCTGTTACCTTTTACACTGAAACTGATGTTCAGTTTTTGCGGAACATAGCTAATGTTATTACTGCATCGGGAGGTGAGGTTCCTGATTGGATTATGTCTTTATCCAAGAAAAAATGGAGGAGGCACAGACCACAAAGAGAAGCGATCTCTGCACAACCTGAAGATTGACCTAAATTTAGCCCCAAGTTTTCCGTGGAAGATTTTTGCTGTTTTATTTTTGCCTTAAAAAAACTTGTGGTATTCACCAAAGACAATACATGAAAACTGCTCATTTTGAAGTTTACATCGAGCAGCTATGCAGATATATCAGCAGTTTGCTTTGTTCTCATCTCTGCGTTAAGCTCTTATTATTGATAGAAATGTGATTTATTAAAGGATTGAAAAAACATTTTATTTCACATTAGAAAATGTTTTTTTTTTGTTTTGGAAAACCTGCTGAGGTTGACACTTGACATTTAATCTGACTGAAGTTGAGAGATATGAGCTGTTCTATAGTTGAAACAGGGATTGCTTGTTGAATGGTTTTAGGTGATGAACTTGCAGCCCCAACTAATATTTGGTGCAAGAAAGCTACACACTTCCAAACTGTGATTCTTTGTTCCTTTTCCTTAAAGCTATGATCTCTGAAAGCAAAGCTTCAGCAGGTGACAGTTTATAAAACCTGACATTTGAGTCATTTGTTTCTTAGCCGGTTACACTGAGTTTGCATAACAGGATCAATGGAAAGATCAAAGAAGAAAGTGCAGCTCTGGAAGAACGCCGCAGTCCATTTTCTGCTATGTTTTGTGATGGGTTTTTTCACAGGCTTTGCTCCACCAACTCGGAGGGCGTCTCTGTTTTCAGGCAGTCATTCCCTGCCGAAAACAAATTCAAATCGCTCAGAAAACCCCATTGAAATCTCACATGGAACACAAAGTGTCAACTTCAACAAGACTTGGTTGGATAGAAGAAGCTTTTCTGCTGCAAAACCCAAACCCACAATGAAGCTACAGGAGGAGACTCCTCCCCGGAGGCTCGTGATAATAGTGACTCCAACAGCCACTGAAGACAAGATCCGGCGATCAGTACTGTTGAGGAGGCTTGCAACCACCCTGAGACTGGCGGCTCAGCCCCTCGTGTGGGTGGTTGTGGAGCAGCAGTCACAGGACTCAGAGGTTTCTGAGTTATTATGGGAGACAGGAATCATGTGCAGGCATCTAGTGGTGAAGGAGAAGAACTTCACCGACATGCGCGAAGAGCTTGATCATCAGAGGAATGTGGCTCTGGCTCACATTGAGCACCACAGGCTGAGTGGGACCGTTCACTTCGCAGGACTTTTCGGCGTTTATGATCTCGACTTCTTTCATCACCTCAGATTAATAGAGTATGTCTTCTTCTTCTTTCACGATAGCGGTTGGTCCTTTGGGGATTGGTTGGTCACCAAATAAGAAACTCGTTAAATATTCATACTTTCTTAAAATTAGTACGGCACTTAGGCCTCGTTTGGCATTAGTGTTAAAAGTTAACATTAACGTTTTTTAAATTATTAAACAAGATCTTAATTAATCATTTTTTTCGAACTAGTCCGTATCACTTATTTCTATTATAATTGAAGATGGAGAAATTGAGAAAATGACATATTTTTAAATGAGAATCAATCGCTACTTTTATACTCCGTACGATTATATTGTCAAAGGGGTGGAGTCGTTTCTATGATGAATTTACAACCATGCTACAGTTTACACCAAAAAATGTCCAATTTGTACACCACAGTTATGCACAAATATTTTGATGTTTTACACCGATACAAGTGTTGGTGCGTTAACAAAAATTTACACGGACACAAAGTCTTGGTGCATTAACAAAAATTAGTTTTACACCAACACAAAATGTTGGTGCAAACCTGCGGCGTAGAAGGTGGGATCTAAAACTTGGGGTACAAATAGGTTAATCCATGAATTTAATCATAGTTACCCACAACTTGTGACACTCAATTATGAAGGTGAAGTTCCTGCGCACGCACAATTGCACAAACTTATCCAATATTATCACTCAATTAGTTCCAAAATTATTTTCTTCTTTTCATTTATTTATGATATATGACTAAATTGGTTTTCAATTTAATTTGTCTACGGAGTAATTAACAGTGCAAATTTAAAGCTTTAAAAACTACAGTAGAAATTCAACAAAACAAGAAGTAATATATAACTATTTCAAATATGAATAAAAGTATCTAAGGAAAGAGAATAACTAAGAATATAATTTTCAGATAGAGAATACTACACAGTATTAATTTTGCAGATAAAACATTCTTTCTTTCGTGATAAGGTACTCCTCTGTCCTAATATAAATTACATGTTGTTTACATGGTTGACTGATATTATTTTCAACTTAATTTAGTAAAATATCGGTATGGATAAAACTTACATATTTAAAAACTATATCAAATGATCTACAAAAAAGAGGTGACAAGACTATTATTTTGTCAAACAGGTGTTTAAAATGGGTAAAAAATGTAATTAGAGTTTGACCGTGTGAATAGTAAATAGAAAAATTAAATTGGGATGGAAGGAGTATTACAATATAAAATTTAATACTCCCTCCGTTCTACAAAAATGTTCTATAAAGAAACCAGTTATTAAGAAAAACATATGGAGCAACTGTGGCTAAAAGTGGTACAAATGCGAATATGAGATAAATAACATCACTTACAGAAAGCTTTCTATAAGTTAACAAAATAAATCTTTTTTGAGATGAACAAAAAAAGGAGTGTGTTACCAAGAATAGACAAGCGAAAAACTTAGTGATTTATTCTCAAGGATCATGCTAGGAATCCATCACAGGTGTCCACACGGATGATTATCGTAGATGGTTTACACATATACATACGATAAGCATGTGTTTACAGACAATTATCATCGTCTGTGTATGTATAAATCATCTCTTATATATTGTCATTCGTGGGGTGCTTGTGGTGGTGGGTTCCTAACATCTTTGCATTCTCCATGGACCATGCCTGCCTATACAAGTAGAAGAACTTGTAGAGCTAACATTTTTGTGTACATGTTGAGTGGGTTTTTTTGTAAATTCTTGATATATAATGGTTGTTTATAGTCAATGTATGTTTTCAGAACTAAAAAAAGAAAGAAAGAAAATTTATTAATGAGAGATGGGTTTGATAAATGGGACAGGGGTTTTGGGGCATGGCCTATTGCATTATTGGGAGCAAACAAGAAAGAAGTGAAGATAGAGGGGCCAGTGTGTGATTGTTCAAGAGTAATAGGATGGCATTTGAAGAACAACCAAACATATGATGATGATGAATCAAAGCCTCCTCCTCTTCCTCCAATTAGGGTTTCCAACTTTGCCTTTAACAGTTCAATTCTTTGGGACCCTGAGAGATGGGGCCGTGCGTCTTCATTTCAAAACTCATTGAATTTCATAAAGAAAGAGGTGATTGAAGATGGAGGGGCCAATTTGATGGAGATTCCACAAGAAGACTGCTCGAGAGTCCTTTTGTGGAATCTTCGATTTTCAAAATGAACATATAATGTTTCTTGTGTTTTGATTACTTGGCCAAATGAACATAACCTTCTCTTCACACTGCTGGCAGTGAAGTTAAGTTTCGCTCTGTATACGTACTGTACAATCGGTTGTATGGTCTTTTCCTTGCATTCATGACGAGTTCTCATTTACGAGTGACTCATTTTTTTAGAATTCAATTATGCTCGAAAATGAGTATTTAATTACTCAAAAATGAGGATTCTGTTGTTCGAAATTGAGTATTCAGTTATTCGAATATAAATATTTAGGTGGATGTACGAAAAACGCTACATTTGGATGTATGGTGTAGGTACTCATGAAGTTTAGGTAAGTGTTTTAAACCTGCGATGATGCTAGACTAAAGATTTGATCAATTCGATGCGGTATAATACTTAAATTAATATTAATGAGTCAATTAACATAGTAAAAATCTACTCTGCTTAAAGAGTTGTGTTATTGTGGTTCTAAGCTTCACATTTGAAATGTGTGCTCATAATTGGATTTCTTTCTTTTTACAAAGTCCACTGCAGATAAACATTTTATGCTTTAACGTCCATATATTAAAGATGTACCTGAGATATGAGAACCGGTACAATTATATATATGCAGTACTCTCCTCGTCCCATTTTAAAATGTTTGTTCTGATTTCACTGAAGTTATTTTTAATTCAATTTATTTGAAAATTTGGGTGGAATTAAAAAAGATTTACATATTTAAAAACTAAATCAAATTTTTTTTGGAAGCAAGATGTGACATGAATGACTAGGCGTGGACACAATGGTACAGTTATGGTTGCGAAATCGCCAGTTCCCAGTATCGAAGGAGCCATAGTTGTTGCCGATTTTAGATGACATGGTTCGGATCCGATTCCTGGTACGGTTTTGGTATTTTTTTAAAAAAAAGTTTTAATGTTGTATTTTAGTTTTTAATAATGTAAAATTTATAAAAAAAATGTAAAAGGGTAAAATGATGTAATAAAGTAAAATAAAGTTTAAATCTTAAATATCTAAGTTGATACTTGACACTTTTTAATTTACAATGTTATATTGAAATTGGAAATGAAATTACAATCATATTCTAATAATAATTTTAAAAATATTGGATAAAAATATTTATCGCAACTTCCGCAGCTTCCCTCCGTTGTAGCTTTCATGAAGTTTTCTTGATCAACAACATAACCCGCTTCCTGATATCGGGCTAACAACAAGTCTCGATTACAAACAAGTATCTCGAGTGATTCGACACTTAGTTGGGTATGATAGTCACTCAATGTGTTACCGCTTGAACTGAACTCTTGCTCCACTTGACTCTACGGGCAAATAAGGCCTTGCAAGAAGACCTGAAGAAGGCCAAGGCTGAGCTAGATGTCGCGCTGGTTGAGGAGAAAAAGGCATTGGAAGCTATGTTTCCCAAGAAAAAGTTGGAGGAGGAACTGAAAAAGGATGGTCCTCCTTCATCTGAGCGATGGAGGATCTAATGGGTGTCGTTGACGAAGATGAAAAGGTCGTGCTGGAGCGACAACAAGCCATTCGATAGAATATACTTCGAAAATAGTTTCCATTGAAGTGCTGCAACTTGATAGAATATTATTTGAGAATAAAAATAGAAAAATACTTGCTGAGAATATTAGTTGATCCACATTTGTTCATATGCATGCTTGAATGAATATTTCACTTTATGTGTGTAATTGATTGAGTGATTTAATCTTGATAAAGCCAAGCATTTTTGAATATCAATTGTTTCAATCTCATCTCTTCATTCTCACCTCTTTGACTCTTAATTAGGGTGTACAAAATCCAGGTCGGACCGGAAAACCAGACCGGACCGGAACGGAAAAACCAGTTCCGGGCTAGACCGGTAAAATTCCGGACCGGTCTCCGGTCTAAAGATTTTGGACCGGTAAAATTCTGGTCCATTCCGGTCCAAGACCGGATTGTTTCCGGGTCGGACTGGTAAGACCGGATTGTCTATTTTTTAAAAATAAAATTAATACCTATAATACGGAGTATACATATAATTATAAATACAACCGGACTGATTAGATTCCGGTCCTATATATATATATATATATATATATATATATATATATATATATATATATATATATATATATATATATATATATATATATATATATATATATATATATCNAGAGGTCTGAACTATTAAGTGCTGAACCAGTAAGAGGTCTGAACCATTAAGAGCTAGTATATTGCTTAACTATTCAGAGGCAAATGTCTGATCAATTCAGATAAGAGGTCTTAATCATTCAGACTCTGTATAATACTTAACCATTCAGAGGCAAATCTCTTAACCATTCAGACATCTGAACCATTAAGAGGCTGAAACAAACAGTCTGAACCATTAAGTGCTGAACCATTCAGACATCTGAACCATTAAGAGGCTGAAACAAACAGCCCCTTAGTGTAATATAATAAGTCCCAACGATATATTTTGTTTTAATCATTTGTATTTTATAATATGATAAAAATAGGGTTAAATATGTTTTTATGCCCTATGAAATAAGAAATTTTTGTTTTTAGTCCCTATTAAATATTTTTTTATAAAGTCATCCCTACAAAATATTTTAATTTGAAAATAGTCCTTAACGTAATTAGCACTTCTAATTAAATGAGATAGTACATTTCTTTCATACTTTAACATATTAGTCATGTATTTCTAATTACATCCGATGCAATTTCTAAACCCTAAATTGTGTACTTATTCATATTACATATATCCGGCTCTCAAATTTCTTACGAATATAATATAAGCAAGATTTGAGAATTAGAAATCCAAATTGATAAAAGACACAATTATTGACATCAAAATTGTGTCTGAAGTAATTGTAAATCTAAAACTAAGCTAAAGTCTTTATTACGTATAAAGATCATTATCAAAATAAATTTTTTTGTAGGGATGACTTAAACATGGGTGACTGGCAACATGAGTGTTTGGCAGTGACAATGGCAGCGAGTGGCAAAGAATGATCAACAGTTGAGAGAGATATCAAACCCCCATATTGATATCTCCCAAATTCGGGAGATATTGAAACCATCCATTTTAAAGATTTATGATATCTGAAGATATTAAATTTGATAACTCTTTTAGCTTTACCAAACATCAGAAAAGGATTAGGATATCTAGAGATATCAAAAGTCATATTTTTTTTTGCTCACCAAACACACCTTTAGAAGTTTTGTAATAATTGAATAGAAAAATATGCATAATTAGGAAATAGTTTATTATAAAAACGAATATCTCTATTCTCTTCCATAATTAATTGTACTGAATAACTTCATACCACAATATTAACTTCTTACTTCCTATAATACATTTTACGAGTTAGAAATGTCTCGTAAACAACATCACATCTCAGCTTCTTAGAGATTAAAATATCAATTTTATAAACAAAAGATCAATTATAAACATATTTGATCCTTTCCTATAAGAATACTTTTAAACAAAAATATATGATTATCAAAATTTTGTTTTTTGTGTATGCACTTAGTTAAAAATTTGATTCATAAAAAATGCTAGTCTAGAAATAGTCACTGATAATACCAATTTTATATTTTCACTAATTTTTTGCTACATCATAATAAGTTTTATCATAAAATTATATTTTATATAATTGTTTTCCATTAATAATTTTAGTTCAAACAATACTATATTTATCTTTCAAAAATTTAATATTATAACATAATTAATTTTATCACAGCATAACAAATAAATAAATAAATTGCTTTTTAAAAATAAAAAATATAAATACTCAACTAATTTCACAAAGTAATGAATTCTTTATTTGTCTTAAATGTTTTTATGTAAAATTTTTCCAAAATTTGAAATCATTATTAAATTTCTATTTTAAAATAAAAAGAAAGGTCAATTTATCATTATTAAATTTTGCCACATAAGCAACTAATAAAAGCTTGCCATCTCACCTTAATATAGCCCACATAAGCTTGACACTTGGCGACTTTCTAGCAAATGGAGTCTCAAGTATCATATTAAAAAGTATTTATACATAATATACTTCAATAAAATAAAAGACCAAGAGCCACTCCATCCACTTGAACTATTTAAGTTGTTTATATATATATATATATATATATATATATATATATGTATGTATGTATGTATCGTATTGATTTTAATAAAACTTCTAATTACTTAGAAAAAGAAACACAAGCATTATCTATTATACTTGTTTAATAAAAAAAATAAAAATAGTTCAAAAAATAAATAAACAAAACTATTTATGTTTTATTTAAGAAAATACCTATACCTAAAAAATATTTTTTCTCAAAACAAAAAATACCTAAAAAATTTGTGTCATCAATAAAAATTAAGAAATATTTAGTAAATATACCTTAGTATATGAAATTTAATCTTTTCTTCTTCTTTTTCTCGTTCCAATTAACTAAATATAAATGTAAAGTGTTACATACAAATTGCTGAGTATTATGTAAAACATATTACCTAGCTTTTACTTTTAAAAAAATGAGAATTGACAATTTCAGTGTTATTAGATACTCATCATTTATCTTTAATAGCAATAAAAAAATAATAAAATAGCAAAATATAACTGTGACGGCATATGAAAAATAATGTTAAAAATTAAATGGAAGAGTGAAAAAACACAAATATAATATTTAATTACTCCCTCCTTCCAAAAATGTTTTTCCCTCTTTCGTTTTTGGTATGTCCGAAAAAATTCTTCTCATTTTCTTTTTTTAGTATACTTTTTAAGGATAAATTTCAATGATACCCTTTTATTTTTTCACTAATCTACTTTTTAATAAGAAAAGGAGATTTAAAAATTTATAGTATGTGCATTTATAAAAATTTGGCTTTTTTTTATTACTTTTTAATAAGCGTGTCAAGTTAACGCGAGAAGAACATTCCCGGAAGAAGGAAGTATATAATATAAAATACTATTCTTTTAATTATAGTTAACCAAGTTGTTGCCCTCAGATTGACCGGTTAACCCTTGACCTACTAGTTCCTTTGTCTCGATCTTCCTTTCCTTCTTTCTTCTTTCTTTTTTTTGTGTTGCTTATTTCTTCTTTCTTTTTGTGTTGCTTTTTTTTCTTTTTTATTTTTAGTCTTTAGTTTTTTAGTTTTTTAGTTTTTTAATTTTTATTTTTTATTTTTTTCCCCAGTTTTTTAGGTTTTTTTATTTCTTTTTATTTTTTATTTTTTTGTTAATTTGTATTATTTAATTGTATTTTACGTTTTAAGTTTAATTATTTTAATTAAATTAAATGTTCAAAAATAATATCCAAAAGTAGAAATGAGAAGAACAGGATCTTGTATTTCGGACTTCGGATCATCTATCCACACAGGGGCGGAGGAGGGGGGCATGCCTGAGCAAGTGTCCCCCAGCGAAATTCTGGCTAACTAGGATTAGGGTACCCATTACCCAATCGGCAATTGGAGGCCGGATTTGCCCCGCAGATCTGTCGCATCAGCTCATCGAACTCCAGCCGATCGATGAAGAAAAGAGGGATCATGCTACACTTACACCAAAAAATGTACACCATTTGTACACCATAGTTATACACAAATAATTTGATGGTTTACACCGACACAAGTATTGGTGCGTTAACAAAAATTTACACGGACACAAAGTGTTGTGCATTAACAAAAATTAGTTTTACACCAACACAAAATGTTGGTGCAAACCTGCGGGGTACAAGTTGGGGTATAAACGTTGGGGTAATCCAGAAAAGAGGAAGAAGCAGCTGCAAAGAAAAAGAACAGAACAAAACGACGTTGTTTTGTAAAATTCTAATGGGTTTAAAAATTTTGTGTGACCAAGCCCAACAGAGTAAGGCCCAGTGGCCCAATTGCTCAAAAAAAAAGGATGGAAGTAATCGAACAAAAAAAAAAAAAAAGAAAAGAGGCTTTCGTAAAAGGCCTCCAGGCTGCAAGATCGACGAAGGGCAGTGGGCAGAACGCAGAAGTGTAGAACTCCAGAAGGTAGAGGCAGATTCCAATCTTGAACCCTTTTTTTGTGCTTCTTCATCTAATATTCAGATCTTCTCTCATTATCTAGGTATTATATGTAAATTTTATTTATTCAATTTCAAGATTTGTTTTTTAATATTTGAAAGTTTTGAATATTGCTTAAATATGTTTTGAATTTTGAATATTTATTTAATTATTTTGTTCCGTGGCTCCAGTGTGTTTGTTGATATTTAAATACGGAGTATTTGATAAATGTTAATGTAATTTCAAGTTCTAGAGATTACACATATATGAAATTGTTATTTTAGGGTTATTGATGTTTTATTTTGTTACTTTATTATATGAAGTTATTATGCAGCGCTTTCAAAAGTTGGCATCTCGAAAAAATTTTCTACGGCCTCAAACAACTCTTACTCCTTTACACAAATACTCCCTCCGTCCGATCGTCCCCAATTTGATTACAAATTGTGGGTTACGGAGTAAAATTTTCTACTTTTCGAAATCATTTTTATTTACAAATTGGTATATAAATAAGATATAAAAATTACATATTAAAAAACTACGTCAAAAGTTCTACAAAACAAGAGGTGACAAAAATATTTTATTTTATCAAATACTTAATGAAATCGCATAAACAAACAAAAGTTATCGAGAGGAGAGAGAGAAAAAAATTGTAATCTATTTAGGGACGGAGTGAGTAGAAGGTGTGTTTAGTTGCATTTTGCCAATTAAAGTAGTTACTATTCTGAATTTTGTTTATTTATTAAATGAATTTTCGCCGCCCCCATGAAGTCTTCTCTGGCTCCATGTATCCACATTCCATAGCTCATACCTTAAGAAGTGCCACGTAGGCTTCATTTGGTAACTTACATTTATGGGCTGTTTGTTTCAGCCTCTTAATGGTTCAGATGTCTGAATGGTTCAGCACTTAATGGTTCAGACTGTTTGTTTCAGCCTCTTAATGGTTCAGATGTCTGAATGGTTAAGAGATTTGCCTCTGAATGGTTAAGTATTATACAGAGTCTGAATGATTAAGACCTCTTATCTGAATTGATCAGACATTTGCCTCTAAATAGTTAAGCAATATACTAGCTCTTAATGGTTCAGACCTCTTACTGGTTCAGCACTTAATGGTTCAGACCTCTTACTGGTTCAGCACTTAATGGTTCAGACCTCTTACTGGTTCAGCACTTACCCATTCAGAAGTTGCCAAACAGCCCCTTACTCTAAAAAAATCACTTTCACCTTTTTTGTTCAAGGAAATATTATAAATCCAACAAAAAAATCAGACTCCAAATGTTATTAAAAACTGATATAAAAATTGACTCTAAATAAAAAATATGGGTGTGAAATTTGATGTGAGGGTAAAAAATTTGCTTTGTCTGTTCTAAAGTATAATCTCATTTAAAAAAATATATTAGATTTTATCTTTTTTTGAAAAATATATTATATACAAATTGGTATAGAAATAAATAATACAAACTAGATACTATATTTAAAAACTAATGAAAAAATTATACGAAACAAGAAGTAATAAGAGTATTTTATGCAATCGAAACATCCACGAAAAAAATCATCAAACAAAAATTATCGAGAAATCAGAATAATAACATTGATGATTATTCCGAGACAAAGAGAGTGTCTAATTCTTCATTGTGGGTACAAACAAAATTTAGAAGTAGATGAATTTGATACTTTTTGCACACACAGAAAAAAAATTTGATATTTTGTGCCCACAGAAATTAAGATTGTTCGTCGGTCCAAAATCAGAGAGACCCAGACCGAAAACCGAATTGAAATATGGAATATTTTTTGTCAAAGATTGAGGCATGTCAAGTGATTGCATAATGTATTTTAGTTTCGAGTCTGACTATTGGAGACACAAATGCACAATGCTGATATGAGTGCTGATTGTATCGCATAATCTACCCTCAATGTATTCGTGCTTTTTTCACCGTCTTTTCAGGTTATATCTCTTTTTTTGTAGGAGACTAAAAGTACTTTATTACTCCCTCCATCCGTTGCACAAAACGAAGAAAAATTCCAAGTTTTTTCAATCTATTTTATTTAAATATTGGTATAGAAATAAAAAATAAAACATACATATTTAAAAACTACATCAAAAGTTCAACAAAACAAGTGGTGACAAGAATATTTTATTTTATCATATAGGCCATGAAAAAACACAAATAAATATAAATTCCCGTGAAGTTGGAATAGTGCTCTGGGAAGAAAGTTTTAGGACGGAGGGAGTACATAAAAAAAGGTTATAANAAAACGAAGAAAAATTCCAAGTTTTTTCAATCTATTTTATTTAAATATTGGTATAGAAATAAAAAATAAAACATACATATTTAAAAACTACATCAAAAGTTCAACAAAACAAGTGGTGACAAGAATATTTTATTTTATCATATAGGCCATGAAAAAACACAAATAAATATAAATTCCCGTGAAGTTGGAATAGTGCTCTGGGAAGAAAGTTTTAGGACGGAGGGAGTACATAAAAAAAGGTTATAAAATTACATAATGTATTTTTGTACTTTATTCGTTCTCCAAAATATTTCATATTACATTTTTTTCTCTTTCACTAAAACACTTTCACTTTCTATTAAAAACTATTTTATCCCTTACTTTTTCTTACCGTATCTATCACACCATACTTTTTCTCTAATAATCAATCAATCACATCTTGCTTTTAATCATCACATCAAAGGTAACACTTTTTATTTTGGCAATTAGTCAAAATGAGAAGTATTTTAAGTGAGTATTAGAGAATCTGTTGTTTTTTGGAATATAGGTAAGGAATTTTGTTATTTTTTTGTTTTTAGAGATTTTGTGTTTGTCAAATTTATACTTTTCAATGGAATCACTTTTGGTTTTTTTTGTGTTGCGGAAATATTATACTCTGTAATTCTTTTTTTTTTTGCAAAATTAGTGCGAGATTTTTAGTGCGACTTTTAGAGCACTGGAAATACTTTTGAAGTCCAGGGGCTTCAAATCGAGGCTTCAAAATTTTTATCTCTGCCACGTCAGCCTTAGCTACACAATTTCAGTGGAAATGGGTTTGAAGCCCCGGGGATTCAAACTGGATCTTCAAACCTTTTTCTATTTTTTAATATACATTTTTTCAATTTAAATTATTAAAACCTAATTAATTAATTAAATCTAAATGACAATAATTTATGAAATAAGAAATTACATTCAATTAAAAACATTTAATTTAAATAATTACATTCAATAAAAAAACATTTAATTACAAAAATTACATAATTTAAAAACTAAAGCAAATCTACATCACATACTCGTTTGTGTCGAGACCGGACAGGGGAACCGAAGAACCCAAGGATAGTGAAAAAGATTTGAAGAATTTTTTTTAAGTTGAAGAAGAGAGATAAGAAGCGAGATTTTGTTTGTGATTTTTTGGGTTGAAAATGAGTTAATTTGTAGATCGAATATTTTTTAAGTGTAATGACTTTGTAGCCGTTGGAAAGGGAGTCTCACTGCAAAAAAACACACGTTAAACGTTTGACGCACCAAGAGTAACGCTGGGATGAAGCCCTAGGGGGGCTGATAGAATTTGGGATGTGTACGGACAACTAAATTGGGTAATAAGATATTTGGGTTGAACCACATTAAAAGATTGAATCCAATCTATTAGTAAGTTCAACTCAAGGGCTTATATACCGGTTTATTTTCTCTTCAAGTTCTGACGTGGGATACTCTTTAACACTCCCCCTCACTCAAGTGGACAACTAGGCTAAAGACTAATGGACCGCTACTCCGCTAGGAATGAACGTCTAGATGGACACCTTGACAAACGAGGTGGGCCAAAACCTGTTCCGATACCATGATAGAATTTGGGATGAGTATGGATAACTAAATTGGGTAATAAGATACTTGGGTTGAACCACATTAAAAGATTGAATCCAATCGATTAGTTAGTTCAACTCAAGGGCTTATATACCGGTTTATTTTCTCTTCAAGTTCCGATGTGGGATACTCTTTAACAGGGACAGTGTTTAACGCCCCCGGGCATTAAGAAAAAGTTTAACGCTAGAGGGCGTCACACCCATTTCCTTTGCTCTTAGGTCAAAAGTGGTACTTTGACATGCCACATTAGCCACTTTACTAAGGAATGAGGATGTCATGGACATTAAGTGTCTTTTTTGTTGGAAGGGACGAAGAAATGAAAGAGAGGGAATGTGAAAGATGGTTTCCTTCACCTTGTTTGGTTGGGAGGGAAAGGAAAGGCTTTGTTTTCAATTTTTTTATTTTTGAATTTTCATTTTAAAATTTTATTTACTCTGTGTTTATTTTTTCAATTATTACCAGTATTTTTTATTTTTTATTTTTTTTATTTTTTTAATTTTATTATTTTTATTATTTTTAAAATTTTTAATTTATCATGTATTTACGTTTTATATTTTATTATTTTCATTTAAGTTATTATTTAATAATTTTATTTTTCATATTTATTTATTATTATAATTTATATTATTATTAAATTTTTTTTATTAGTTTTTTATTTTATTCTTATTTTTCAGTTTTGTAATTTATTATATGTTTACTATTAATTATTTATGATTTTATTATTTATTTATTTTATTATTATTATAATTTTTTTATTTTTAATTTTTAGGGAGTACTTGTTACTCCCTCTGTCCCTATTTTGATTACAAATTGCGGAAAACGAAGAAAAATTCTGCATTTTTTCAATTCATTTTATTTAAAGATTGAGACATAAGCAAAAAATAAAACTTACATATTCAAAGACTACATCAAAGTTTTACAAAATAAGAGGTGACAAAAATATTTTATTTTATCAAATAATCAATGAAAATACACAAATAAAAAAAAGTTATCATGATTTTGGAATAGTAAACAATCTAAACATTGTAATCAAATATGGGACAGAGAGAGTATTTTATAGTAATTTATTTTATTTTCTCATTATTTATTTATTTATTTTTACCTTTTATTTTATTTTACTTTATTATTATTTAATTTATTTTCTTTTTTAGTGTATTGTTTTTATTTAATTTTTTTAATGAAAAGATAAAGAAAAAATTGACAGAAATAGAAGAGTTAGACAAGAGGGAAGGAGAATTTGTCCGATTTAAAAGGAATGATTTAAAGAGGAAGAGAAGGAATTGAAGTTGATATTTTGATTTTGGGTTCCCTCCCCTTCATATTTCTAAAGGTGGAACGCTCAACCCTGAGCGTTCCCACACCCTAGTCGATAGGATTGTGAGTGGGTAAATCATTGTATAATCTCAATTTGATACTTAGAGAGGTCGCCCCGTGCCTGGATCTTTAAGGAGCTATTATAAATAATAGAACTCCCACACTGCCGCTTACGAGATTCGACCCGTGCTCGGTTCCCTTCGTCTTTTTAAAAACCAAGCAAAAGGGACTCAAATTTCCTTCCATCCCCTCTCCTCCCCTTTAACCAAACAAACCAGCTCGACGTAGATCCTTTGATCATTGTGTGCTCCCATTGTGCCAAGACAAGACATGAGCTACTGAGGGCTGGGTTTTTCGAGATCAGAATGGGAGAGGAAGATGAACCAACCATGGAAGGGGTCGTGGTCCATGACGTGGAGTCGGACGGTCGACCAAAAGTGCTGGACGATCGATCGTCGGTGGAAATCGTGGTGGAGTGCACGTCGTGCAGGGGGGTGCAGAAGAAAAAAGACCTTCCCTGCTGCCCAGTTTTGATGATTTGACCCCAGAACAGTGGAACACAGTTCGTCACGCTCTCTCCCTATCTCCACCAGACACAAATTCGAAACTTTCAAGTATCCCTGTATCACCACATTGGATTATTGATACTTGTGCGTCCAATCATATAACAGGTGACCTTTTGTTATTGTATGATGTGGCGTGTGTGTCTCCATGTGAAACTGGTTTGGCTAACGTGAAAATGGTTGTGTCTATTCAATCTGGAAAAGTTGATTTAACTAAGACTATGACATTGCAGAATGTGTTGTTTGTTCAAACTTTGAGTTGTTATTTTATTTATGTGTCACAATTGATAAGAGACACGAACTGTGAGGCAAAGTTCAACAATGATTTGTATGTATTACAGGACCTAAGTTTGAGGACAACGATTGGTGTGGGTAAACATGAAGGAGGACTGTACTATTTAAAGAAGGAGGACAAGCGCATGACGTGCAGTGCAAAGAAGGAGAATAGTTTTGATCTTTGGCACAAACGTCTAGGACATCCTTCTTCGCATGTTTTGTCCATAATTCCTTTAGTTGGTTCAAATAAAAGTAGTCATTGTGATGTGTGCTTATGTGCTAAACAAACTCAGGCTAGTTTTCCCATCAGTTTTCATCAATCAATTTGAAGTTTTGATATGATACATTGTGATTTGTGCGGACTTTATCAAACTCCATGTTTGGATGGTTCTGCGATGTTTTTTATCATTGTGGATGATTATTCTCATGGTGTGTGGGTTTATTTACTTAATTCTAAGCATGCTGTAGGGAGTGTATTTAAGCAACTCTGTGCCATACTAGAATGTCAATTTGGGAAGAGAGTAAAATGTGTTCATAGTGACAATGGTACACAATTTGAATGCTTAAATGAGTATTTCTGGGATTGGGGAAATGTTCATGAGACATCTTGTGTATATACTCCACAGCTTATTGGCGGAGTATAATGCAAGCATCGACAGATACTGAATGTTGGTCGGGCTTTGAGATTTCAGGCGGGGCTTCCAATTGGATTCTATGGAGATTTTGTCCAAACCTCTGTGTACCTGATCAATCGAACACCTTCGTCTTTGCTAGGGGGTTACACCGTATGAGAAGCTCTATGGAAGATTACGTGCTCTGACTCATATTTGTGTTTTTGGATGCAGATGTTACACTCACAATTTAAAGAGTAATGGACAAAAGTTTGCACCTAGAAGCAATCTGGGGATTTTCCTAGGTTATCCGCACGGAAAGAAGGGATGGCGTATATACCATCCGGACACTGGAGAAATCAAAGTGTCCCGAGATGTTGTATTTTGTGAAGATATTTTTCCTTTCTTGACCTCTGCAGGTGAATCTCCGAATGAAGATAGTACGAGTGGCACGCGTCCAATTAATTTTCCCGACGAAGATGAAGAGTTACAGACGGAAGAGCCGTTGGACCGTCCAAGGAGGAACGACCGACCACCAGAGAGACAGCATCCGGAGGAGCTACAGATGGTCGAGTCATTAAGCTGCTCTATAGAAGACGGTCGACCGTTGATGGGGCAGCCTGTAGACGAACCAGCGGAGCTACAGACGGTCGACCCCATGGACCATTTAATAGATAGCGGTCGACCGTTGTCTTCATAGAATGAAGAAGAATCTGCGAAGCTACATGCGGTTGACCCCATAGACCTTTCCATGGATGGCGGTCGACCATTGTCTTCACAGTCCACTGAGGAGGTCTTGGGGCAAGGACAATGTGAGAAACGACCAAATGTGAGACTAGCAGACTATGTCACACAAGTTGCTGGTATATTTCTTGGGGAAAATTGCAAGTATCCACTCTCGTCATACATTGCCTACGAGAGATTCTTCGACAAGCACAAATGTTTCATCACAGCACTTGATATTGAAGTGGATCCTAAAAGTTTCAAGAAGACATTCTAGGATGAAAGATGGAGGAAAGCTGTGCGGGAGGAGATTGATGTATTAAAAGCTAATGGCATATGGTCTCTTGTTCCTCATCCTCGTCATAAAAAGCCCCTTGGTTGCAAATGGGTGTATAAAATCAAGCACAAATCTGATGGAAGTGTGGAAAGATACAAGGCCACGCTTGTCATTCTTGGCAGTCATCAGGTAGAAAGGCTTGACTACAACGAAACATTTGCCCCGGTGGTCAAGTTAACTGCTATATGGACCCTTTTGGCTGTTGTAGTTGCTAAGGGATGGGAGTTGAATATGATGGATGTTCATAATGCATTTCTGCATTGAGATCTTCGGGATGATGTTTATATGAGATTGCCACCAGGTTTTTCAAATTCTTCTGATGTGGTGTGCAAACTGAAGAAGTCATTGTATGGATTGAAGCAAGCACCACGGTGTTGGTTTGCAAAATTGTCTGTAGCTTTGAGGCGCTATGGGTTTGTCCAGTCCATCTACAATTACTCTTTGTTTTCTTTTGTTGGAAAAAAGAGAGTGATACATGTTTTGATTTATGTTGATGATCTCATCTTTGTTGGAGATAATACGGATATGATGGTCAAATTCAAAGTATATTTGGCTGATTGCTTCCATATGAAGAACTTAGGAACTTTGAAGTTTTTCCTTCGCATTGAGGTGGCAAGAAGCGCGTTTGGGATTTTTCCTTTTAGAAATATGCTTTAGACATTATCACTCAGTCCGGTTTGTTGGGTGCCAGGCCGTTAGGCGCACCGATGAAGCCAAATCATCACTTGGCTCGTTCCCAAGCACCAGTTCTGACGGATCCAGAACGGATCCAGAACCTTATCGACGTCTGGTAAGGCATCTAGTTTATCTATCTGTCACTCGGCCGGAACTCTATATTAAAAAACTATGGATAAATTAATTACATAGAATGTTTTATTAATCTAATCTAACTCTATATAAGACCCTTCACCTTTCCCTTTATTACTCATTTTTTTTCTTATTTTACATGTGAATCTAAAGTATAAAGAAATGTCACCGAAGAAGATGATAAGGTGAAGAAACCTAAGCAAGTTGCAAGAAGAAAACCTAGTTGCGACTGAATTTTGAGTCTCTCAATCAAGTAATAAAATATTAATTTATCCATATATTAATATCTCTCTAAATTAACAAAGTTTCATGGTTCCGAGGTTATTAATTTATAGAAGTTTTACTGCATCCGGAGTTATACGTATTCATCCATTCGATTGAAAGAAAATAAGGAATCGGTTTAACACAGACTAGAATATAAATTTATACTGAAATGAGACCTCTTATATAAATTTTCATTCTTAAAATAGTGATAGTTTTTTTATTATATAGAAACTTGTTGCATTATAATAACTGATTGAGAAGATAAAGACACGAGTGAACCAACTCACTCCCCACGACTCTGACGTGAAACGTAAAAAGACCGCGCTAACAGGTGCGCTGCCTCATAAAAAAACGCAACAAAAACTCAAAAAACACGGATCACTTCAACTCTCTTTTCCACCATCTGGGAAAGAAACCCAAAAAGGAGCATATATATAATTATGCTCCCAAACTTTTGGAATAAAAAAGAGGACATTACAATAAAAAAGCCAGTAATTATTTAATTAATTAATTACAGCTGGCTGGGCGGGCAGAAGACAACCTCGTAGTTGAGTCCCGAAGGGCAGCTGTGAACGTCAGTTCTGTTGGGGCAAGCGTTCGAGTCGCACTGGATGGGAGTACAATTCCCACTATGTACAGACTTCGTCGTCGGAGCAAAGGACATCGGAATATTGAACCCGTCGTCGTTGGATATATGGTAAAAGTCCGCGCCAGCGCCGGCAGGTTGGTCCGATAGAGTGAATTCCGCAAGGGTCGCGGAGCGCATCCCCGGGGCCGTGCACTCCAGAAAATTACCGCAGTCGCCCGTCTGGCAGGGATGCGTGCTCCCCGAGTCAAAGTCACAGTGGGTCCGGCCCCAGATGCGGCTGCCGTCGGTGCCCGGCGCCACGCTCAGGATCCACAAGTCGTCCATGCCCCTGGCGAGCTCCTTCCCGCCATGGGGCCGAATCGACGCGGCCCACACTGGGTAGGTGCAGTTGTTTTTAACGATGAAGGCGGAAGCATGAGTGGTGCGAGGGAGGAGTATTAGGGAAAGAGAGAGAATGGGGAGGAATTTGATTGTAAACATGAGCCCCATTTTACTATTAAACGGTGAATATATTATATGTAATCGTCGGATTGTGAGGAAACAATTGATAAGAATGGTGAGTATAAATAGGGGTGGCAATGGCAGATCTAGTAGGTCATAGTGGCAATTCACACATAGCCTCGTTCTCAATTGTCATCAAACTAAAAAAAGAAATTTAGTGTGAACATTTGAACATGATCTTCTTTTGGTGTGCATTATTTTCCTTGGCAATCATAAAAAGAAGATTTTGCATATGATCCATCCATGCTTGATCCATCCATGAGAGCATGGGCAACAGCGTGTTGCCTCCCACCCTAACCAACCTCTTCTTTATTAGTTAAAATATCTCACGTCAGCGTGTGACATTCCACTCATTATTTGTCATTGCCCATGCTCTGAGAGTCTTTGAGATTACGTGAGTTATAATGCTACAAAACTAGATACATATGTGAATAAATTATAAAAATGAGTATTCAAAATGACTGTTTTTCAAAAAAATAATAATTAATAATTTAAAAAATCTTTACTAATTTAATGAGAACCATTAAATAATAACATAATGAGATTGCCAAAAATTTAATTATAGTAAGAAATAATATTTAAAATACACTATACTTTAAAAAAGTAAAAAAAGAAATTAAATAGTGAACACATATACTTTTATTTTATTATTTTAATTATTTTTTGAAACCATGACTTTTCGTTGTTTTTGACCCACTTCTATTTATTTATTTTTAGAGTAAATTCTATAATTGGTCTTTTATAATATGAGGGTTTCCCTATTTAGTCCTCTATTATCAAATATTATCCCAGTGGTCCTTCTTTTATGGATATCTTTCCACAAATAGTCCTTTTTTGATCTTCTATCATGTTAGTGTTAATTTGAGGGCTAAAAGTGTAATTTCACAATGATAATATATCTTTTTTGTCATACACAATTCCAAAGGTTGTTCTTTTTGCGTCGTTTGTGAATTACAGTCGCTTTCTACTACAACCATAGTCTACAAATGTGGTCTTTCGTCAGAATCAAAGCCCACAATCGTATTCATTATTTTTGTGTTATCCACTTAACCAATATCAGAACACGTCACTAGACATAATGTTGGTGTCAAATTATACTTTTAGCCTTTAAATTAACACCAACACGGTAGAAGATCAAAAAAGGACCATTTGTGGAAATGTACCCTTAAAAAAAGGACCACGGGAGTAATATTTGATAATATAGGACTAAATATGGAAACCTCCGTGTTATAAAAGATCAATTATGAAATTTACTCTTATTTTTAACATCATTAAAGAAGTATCCATATGGTATCCAAGTGGACAAATGAGAAAATGGCATCTCTAATGTCAAGTGGACTAATGAGAAAATGACACCTCTAATGGCCCTGTTTGGAATTTAGCTGTTGGTGGTTGGTTGATAGCTGTTCGTGTTGGCTGGTTTGAACGGTTGGTTGAGTTGGCTGCTTTGACCAATCGATTATGTTGGCTGTTGATAAAAAATATTTGGCAAACTTAGCTTCTTCAAAATAGCTTTTATAAATTGAATTTAATTTAATGAAATTTTCACATATATAATTATATATGGTATAACATGCTTTGGAATATATATTCTTTCTTTCCTCAAATAAAATTTTAAGCTATATATTGTTCTAGAGTCATTATGATTTTAGTTATTTATGTGTTTTTATCAATCAATTGATAGAATACTAAAATTATATGGAGTATCATTTTTTTTTTCAAAAAACTTTTGATGTAGTTCTTAAATTTATAATTTGTTTATTTATACACCAAAATCTTTAAAAAAAATAAGATTTTTTTTCTTGCAAATCACTTCATGAAATTTACATGGGGAAAGACTATTTATTATTTATTTTTTTATTTATATATTTATTTGAATACCAATTTTTTAATTTAATTACGCAATAAATAATAATTTTTTGTTTATTCATAAAAATTACATACAATAACAATTAACAATAATAAAAAAAATCTATTTTCCAACAGCCAAATCGAAATGCTACTCCCTATAGCTTTTTAAACTTTGGCTTTTCGGGCTCAAACAGCGCAGCAAACTCTTGCAGGCAACTACCAAACAACTTTTTTGGCGGTTTGACCAGTCAAATCCGCTAAAATTGGTCAAAACAGCCAAAAGCCATCCCAAATGCCAAACACCAAACATGCCCAATGTCTAGCTTATGTAGCGTGACACATGACCCAACCACAATTAATCCGTTCAACTTTATATATAAACTAGTATTTTAGTCCATGCGTCATGCACGGGTGCAACGAATATGTTTTCGATTCTACAATAGAAATACTAAAGCAGTTTTGTTTTTTATGGTATAAACCATTTAAGTTTTATATATAAAAGATCTAAGTTTACTAAATTTCTATAAATATATAATTCTTCTCACCCCTTAATTCAAAAAATATATGCTACAAAAAATTAGTGATTCTATTATTATTATTTCCCCCCGCATTTATTTATAAAAATAGGATTTCTGATCCTATAATTTTATGATTCAAAAAATCTAGATTCTTCTCCGTCACATTATTTTCACTAACTAAAAAATATGATTCTTCTCTCATGTGTTAATATGATTTTTCCTCTTCTCGGCCCCTTGTATAGATTAAAAAATGACTCTTTTCTTCCGCATTATTAAAAATGTAAAAACAGAAATTAGTGATCCTATAATAAGAAATACAAATTTTACAATACATAAAAATACAATGATTATTCTCCCCCATATTATTTCAAAAAAAGATGTCAATTAAAAGACATTAGCGGTCATATGATTTTAAAGAAAAATTTAAAAAAAATTACAAATTTTATTCAATTTTTCACTTTCTTTTTAAATACAAAATCAATTAAGTCCATGAAAGTATTTCAGTCAATACATAATGTTTTATAAAAACACAAAGAGTTACAAATTGAAAAGTACATTTCTCTTTGACGTTGTAGCTATGTCTAGAGTTTATTTACTTCTCCACCTTAGATCTTCTCCATATTTTTCCTTAATTTATTGATTGTCCTTCCATCTAGACTTTAATTGTCACAAATCTTCGCGTGCATCCCGACCTCCACACTTTATTTTTCCTTATAATAGTCTTCTTTGCAAAACTTCATGTTATATCTCTTCGTCTCTAAGAATACCATTATGTCGAATTTTTTGTAGGATTGCGAAAATGAAAAAAATTGAGTCATATTTCATTCTTTTTTTTATTTTCATGCATAAATATAGTAAACTAGTGTTAACCCCGTGCTTTGCACGGGCTCGTATATGTTCTAAATTTTGAGATTGTATAAATATAATATTAGTTATTTTAGTTTTATAATGGTAACAAAATATGTTTTAAACTTGTGAAATATATATTGGTATGTTAATTTAAAAACAAAATATTTATACAAAATGAATGGTCATTGAATTAAGTACTAATAAAAATTGGATTAATTACATAATGATACATCATTAGAGAATGTATGTGTGTCATAATGTCACTTGTCACCCTTCAAATAAACAAACTTTATTCTACTTACTTTGTTGAAAGAATATATGTAGCAATAAAATAAATAATGTAATAAGATAAAATTTTTGAAACAAAGTATTTAATTAATAAATATTCATATGTGATTAAAATTATACAATATTACAGAGTATATTTTACATTGGTGAAATATATATTTATAAAATTGTTAAAAAATGAAAATTTTTTATACAAATGTATTAAAAAATATTTTAAAAAAAATCTAAATGGACCAATGAAATGCATATAATATACACCTCATCAATGGGTGCACATGCGGATGCACATGTGGCATGCTACGTGTCAATACTATAGCTAAATTATGATTATTTGTGTTTGTTCAACTTTTTCAAGTTTAGCATTTAGTTTAGAATCCCTTTGAAAAACCCCTATGTATGAAGTGGAGTAGCAAATGAAAGAATAGAAAACACTCTCCCTGCATGTACTTGCCATTATACTACTCTTTTCTTAAGTGTAGTGTAGTTAGAAAATAGGTTAATTTCTTGCCAACTAACAAGTGGTTAACAAGGAATTAAGGGTAGAAACACTTTTTTAGTATATACTTTTTATTTTAAAAAACTGTAAAAAAACCTCCTTTTTCTTGAATTTTATGTTAGGTCAAAATTTTTTTTAAAATAAAAATTTCAAAGGAAAATGATTTTCAAGAAAATTATTTACCCTCACAATTTCTATTGTTTGATAAGTAAGAAAGCAGTATTACAAAATAATTTAGATTACTTGAGTTTATAACAAAATAAACATCAAAGATTAGTAATTCAAGCACTTTTTCAAAGATAATACACTAAAAATATTTAAAAAATAATAAATAACTACATAATAATAATAATAATAATAAATTTAAAATAAAAAATTTATTACTTTCTCCATCCCTATTTTGATTACAAAATGAGAATTACGAGGTAAAATCCTACGATTTTAAATTCGTTTTATTTACAAATTTGTACATCAACAAGAAATAAAAATTACACGTTAAAAAACTACATAAAAAATTTACAAAACAAGAAGTGACAAGAATATTTTATTTTATCAAATAATCAATGAAAATATCACAAATAAACAAAAATTCTCGAGAAGAGAGAGAAAATAAAATCATAATCAAAATGAGGACAGAAGGAGTATAAAATATAAATAAAAAAGTAACTAATAAAAAACAAAAATATAAGGAATAAATAAATGAATAGTAAAAAATAAAAAAACTAGAAATATATACTCCGTACTAAAGATAAATAATAATAATGATAATTATAAGAGAATTTATTAAAAAAGTAATAAGAAAGTAAAATTTAAATGTATGTAAAGTAAAGGGTGTTGTTAGCCACCCTACAATTAGCTAAATCCACCCCATTTATGAGAGGAGAAAAAGACTAAAGTAGGACTAAAATATTTAAAATATATCAAAATAGGATCGGATTTTCATATTTTTATTCCTGAAATATGACTAAAAATACATTTACATTACCAAACATGGTCATGTACATTACCAAAAAATATATGTAATGTGCACATGTACAGTATCACATTACCACAGTGCGAAAAGTCCTATTTCGGGGAAAACATGAAAGTCTTATTTTGGTACTTTTTTTTTTATATTTTAGTCCTATTTAAGGTGATTTTCTATTATGAGAATTGAAAACCTTTATCCTTATTGGCTTAATAATTGAAGCCCGACCCCGACCCGATCCACATATGCAATAACTTCTAAATAATTACTGCGGAAAAATAACTATTTAAATAAAGTAATATATTAATATATTACTAGATGTTTGATATAATAACAATAATAAGTATATGAAAGAAAGACTAATATATAAAATGTATTTTATTTGATAATGTTATTATTTTTTATTTAAATATCATTAACAATGTATGATACGAATTACTCCGTAATAAAGATGTATTCATTTTATTTATTAAATATATTCATAATTTCCTCTTTTTCTCCATAAAATATGTTTGTGTTTTGTAATAATTGGAAATAGTAGTGTTATTTTTTATTCTTATTAATATTAATGTTGTCATTATCATTTTATTTTATTATAACTATAGTAATAATAAATATCATTATTCATTCATGCCGGGTCGACCCGTCCACTCGACCATAAAGTCTGAGCCCGGCTCTAAAGTACACATGCCGATATTTAGCCTGACCTGTACTCTAAAATATCAAACCCAAGCCTGTTATTTGGCGGGCCTGCTTTTGAGGGTTGGCCTGTGATCGGGTCTAACCTCGAGGCTATCTATTGAGCTCCCAAATTTCCAAATCTGTTTGTCCGTTCGGCAGCCCATCTGTCCAACTCCGAGACTCCGACGCGGCGACGCCAATTCCATCTTCTTGTTTGGCACTCCGGCAAGATTTCTCCGTCTGCTTAGCTTTGAGATTTTAAGCCTTTGACAGCCTCACTTGTCCAATCACTCCAAGCTCCAATTCTCCAATCTCCATCCTCCATCCTCCATCGCCTAAGGTATTGTAATTTGTTGTTCTGTACTCTATATGGAGTACTTGTAAAGTTCTATAGCAATTATCAAATAGGGAATTAGGGATTATCAATTTAGCATTAACAAAGTAGCACCTCCTTGAGGTTGATTTGGTATGATATAAAGCATCCACTGGCAGTTTTTTCCATCACTCCATACTAAGCAAATCTCAATTACACAAAATAATTGATGACACTAAAATCACCAACAGTAGTTTGATTTGTAAGATTCAATTCTTGAGGTTGATTTGGTATGCAACCTTTTGGCAGAATACACTTCATATGCAATTTGTTGCTATAAGAATTCGTAAGCAAATATGATTTTTCAGTAGTAAAATATACTACGTATACTACATATTTGATTCCATTTGTTTTGAAGTGATGAAGGTTAGTTGAAAATTGGTGGCATTACATTTGATAAATTCTAAAAATGGAACAACCAAATGTGTAGGAAACTTGTTTGAGCATTAGGGCACGGGAAATACCGATGAAGCCCCGGGGTTTTAAATCTTCTCTCTGCCACGTCAGCTTTAACTTACCTCACACAGTTTCAGTGAAAATGAGTTTGAAGCCCCGGGGCTTCAAACTGGGGCTTCGAACCTTCATTTTTTACATTTTAAATACACATCTTCTAAAATTAAATTAATAAAATTTAAATATTTAATTATTTAAAAGAATTGAAATGAGAATAGTTCATTAAAAACAATACATTCATTATAAAAAAATTACATTCATTAAATAAAAAAATTACATTCATTATAAAAAACTACATTCATTAAATAAAAAATTTACATTCATGAAAAAATAAAAAAAAGCTTGAATAATAATTTTTTAAAAAAAGATGATAGATAGAGAGAAATTTGTATTTGTGTTGAATTTTAAAAAAAACTAATTTAATTTATAGAGAAGAAAAGAGAAAAGAAGTGTGAGAAAAAAGAAGGAAGAAGGCGTTTTAAGGCACCTATAACGGGGGATGTTATATATTTTAGTGTAATTGGAAAAACTATGACCAATGGTATCCTAATAATCATCAAAAAAGTTTGGTGGTGCGGAGTACACGCTTCATTGAGTTTGTTACGATAAAAAACCCGTTACATCGGGGGTTTCAAGGGGGCAGCGCCCCTTGGCGAGGGTTCGGGGGCAGCGCCCCCGAGTAGGGTTCAAGGAGCGGCAGCCCCTGCGGGGTCCAAGGGGCAGAGCCCGTGGCTGGGGTCGAGATGCCAGGTCAGCTCGAAAATTTTTTATTTTGGGCAAAGTGCTATGTTAAAAAATTCAATTGGAATTTTAACTTTCGAATTTCTTTAAAAGGAAAATTCATACGGATAGCGCAGTTTCAAAGGGGGTTTCACCGAAGAATTGCGTGCTTTGGGTAATAGCCGCGAATGGTGTCTTCTCCTTCTCACCCCAAGTCTATAAATTCCCGCGAGGCATGGTCGAATTTCGTTCGGATTTTTATAGCAATTCTCATATTTCGTTCTTGATACTTTCGAGTTTTATCCGATTGAATTTTGGAGTGAATATCCAAAATATTCAATCTGAAAGTGTTTACACAACTCTCGATTCATCCAAATTTTCGTTAATTTCCCCAACAGGGGAGGGAGCGGTGTTTAACGCCCCAGGCGTCAATAGGCTAATAACACCGCTCGGCGTTACAAGTATTACCACTGGTCTTACTGTTTTTATGTTCCTGTTTAATGGCTAGCTATTAGATTCATACAGTTTTTAAGTTCGTTTAATTCAAATTGTCATTTTTCTTCAAAATATATGCCTACATTATAAGCCATATTTTTAAAAAAAGTACATGTATAAAACACCAACATATCCGTATACATATTCCAAACGTATTAAATGTATAGTTCAGGGCCGGCCCATTAGGAAATAAGCAGTCCGACCGGGCCAGGCCCAACATTTTAAGGGGCCTAATTTTTTTAAATTATATATATACCTCCGTACCCGCTTGCACGCTTCACTGCTCCAGAGTCTCGCTCCTGCCCGCCAGACGCCGCCTCGCCGGAAACTCTCCAGGTCCAGGAGTCCAGGTACGGAGGTAAAAAAATACCAATTTTTCAGAATTTCTTTAAGAATTTTACAATTTGTTATGTGAAATTCTCAAAATATTTAATCTTTATAAATTTGTGTTATGAATTTGTTATGAATTTTTGTTGTGAATTTGACAATTTATTATATGAATTTGTCATGTGAAAAATTGAAAATCTTTATTTGAAATTTTTGCTAATTGTTATGAATTTGTTGTGAAAACCTATTAATTTAATAATCTGAAGATCTGTTTTTTTTTTTTGGAAATTTAAAGTTCGTATTTGTGTATTTGATTTCACTAAGATGTGATCAATCAATTTGCTCTAAAAAATGCAAGGAGAACTTTATGAATTCTTGGCTAGCTTTTACAATATGTAATTATACTACTATGATTTTGTCATTTACTTATTTTCTTTTATTGGGTTAATTGTCATTTAAATATAATTAGTTTACATATTTTAATTGTTTAGACCAATAGGGAACTAGGGATAAGACTTCTAAGGCCTTTTTTTCTGTCTCGGCTCAGGCTGTCAGGACCGGCCCTGGTATAGTTAGCCGTATTTTAAAAACTTAATCCGCACAAACGTATGGATACACTTATTATACCCGCAACCGAATGGGTAGTTATAGTGTAAAAAATACACTTTATAGGCTGTACTATTCACAAAAAACTCCATTGGGTGATTTATAAAATATACTATATTGTAAATAACACCTTTCATCTTTTAAAAATAGAATATACTATTCAGTTCTGCTAAAAAGTGTATTATGGAGTACTCCGTATTTTGGAGGGGTTGATGAAGAAGTGATAGAACCGGGCAACTGCCTCCTGCAAACATTTTCTGGAGGTATTTTTCCGATTGAGCAATATTTTTTTTCCGATTGCGCAAATTATTATTTTTGGAAGTGAAACTATCAATTTCAACTGGGAAGTCATCTTCTGAATTGTTAGATCTGGTTGCGTTTGATTCGCAATTTCAGTACTAGTAAAATAGATCCAAAGATAAATACCCCAGTTGCTTGCCCCCAACTAGCCATTGCGGACATTTTTTTTGCCTTTTGTTCCATCATCAGATCATTTTTTTTGTTTATTGTTTTTATTTTTTCCTCAAAAAATTTTATCGATTGGTTTTTTTGTTTTTTGCATATTTGTTATGTGATTTATGCATATTTGCCATAATTTCTGCAGATAACTTCCAATGTTTTGAATAGTAATGAAGAACTTGAAGTAGAGATAATTTTTTTATATAATAATTAAATAATAATAATGATAATAATAATAATAATAATAATAATAATAATAATAATAATAATAATATTGCATAATATAGATGTTATGGTTGGAATAGAGTTAAAAAAGTTAGAAGCTAAAACACTATTGGAGATGATCAAGATCTGGAAAAAAAATACTGCAGTGTTTTAATATAGCTTTTAATTTTTTACACTCTCCCTTGGAGATGCTCTTACAATCCTTATTTCTCCTTTTAACTAATAGCACGATTGTGGTGATCAAGATCTGGAAAATGGTTTACATTACATCTTGGGATGAGTTTGCTGAAAAATCTATTCAGCTTTTCCGCGTTGATCCGGAACAAGTATTTCTTTTTCTCAATACTCTGCTGCTTCCATCATGTTTGGTTTTAATACTTTTATTGCTTATGCACTTTGAAATCCATTGATCTTCAATTTCAGACTAGGTATGTCATGAAATATCGGCATTCCGATGGTAAATTGGTTCTCAAAGTCACCGACAACAAAGAGGTTATTTTCTCTCAATTTCTTAATGCTTCAAACATATTTGTTATAATTTGATATAAGATGCACGTGATATTTGCATTCGGCTATATGTCTTGAATGATGATATTGCATTTGGGACGGTAATTCTCCATCCATGATGTACTGTTGTCGACATAAAATTAATATTTACCTTGAGCATTGCCATGTTTTCTAGCAAAAAAACCAACAGAATGTAGGAAAAACTGGGTGCTTGAAAATGGTATATGGCGGAAGCCATGGTCTCCACCTACGGCTGTGACTAATCCCGTCACCAGAGGATGTAAACAACTGACCATTAAAGTAGTATTTAACCGCTGATAAAACATGTGGAATGAATATGGTATGCAGTATGCTGGACCCTACTTATTATATTGGAATACCAGACATAGATGGGGGCAAGACTTTGTATAGCCCCATGAGGGAATTCTACTCGTATTTACTTGGTACATTTGGATTCATGCATCGAAATTAATGCAAGCATTAAGGAGAATGGCTATGAACTTTTGGCTGGTTTCTCCGCGGAGTCCAAGCTAAAAAATAATCTATTGTGGGCTGAGTGCTTGATCCATTGCTCCCATTTTTATTGGAACAATATGAGACATCATGAGTGTCCCTTTAAGGCAACAACTATGCTTTGTATTTGTTAGAATTTTACATTGTATGTACATGATATCCGCATCTCACTATTTGTCTTTTCCAAAGAAACATTTCTGTTGCGTACTAGTAAGTGTTTGTTACTCCTTGTTTATCACCCCCTGAGCTGTGAATACTTTGATTTGCAAATTGCTGACGTATTTTGATATACAAACATACTATCATATCCTTGTGAATCTAATGAGCCTTAGAAACCTAACTTGTTGGGCTTCTTTATATTTGTTTGCCCCAATAATTCATTATTTTCATAATCCTCAAATTTCTATTTACACATGTCCAGAGTAATTACTTGTGCAGTAAATATTTTCAAAGCTTATCAACATTTTGCAAGCATGACATGCGAACTAACTTGTGCTGTAAATGCTGATCTAATTTAATTGCTATTATCTAGTTAAGTTGAATTTTTGGCGCATACAAAAATTATTTGGCTTTAGTTTGGCAAGGCCAATTCTTAGGTTTTCTATACTGTTTTCTTAAAAAACACCATCATGGATATGGAGATTGAAACGAACCGTAGTTTTATGACTATTGCCATTGGATGTCACCAACTAGACTTGCAAAAGTGGTTTTCCTATTCGTTTTTTCATGAGACTGAGGTGGATAATTTTTCATGATCTCGATCTCTTTGGGTATGTTAGAAATGGAGCTCCAACCACAAGCTTTAGCTTATGGTTGTTTGGTTCCTTAACATGATATCATAACTTTGTTGACTGTTCACGTGCAAGCCTTGGGCAAATAAATCTGCTTTGCACATAAGAGGATACATTTCATGAACCTCCGATCACAAACTTGAGCTTTTGGTTGAATTGGATCTTTAAGAGGGTATGTGAAACATTTTTCGATTTGTAGATCTGAAGTTGAGTTTAAGTATATGTCATAATTATCTCTCATCACCGTAAATGTTACTATGCTTGGGTTGGCACCATAAAATTGTATAAAACTAGTTAACACTATATTTATGTATAAAATTCTAAATAAAGAATAATGTATTGTAGTTCAAAACCAAAATTTCAAAAGTTGCGCTTGCATGCAAAATATCACGAGATGGTGATGAGTTGAGATAGTCATTTACTCTGTATTATTTAAGAAAGGACATTTTATGGGAAAAGGTTTCTCTCCACCACAGTGAATGTTGCTAAACTCTTGGTTGAAAACATGCCACTCATATTTAGTAGTGGCACATTCTTTGTTAAGAGTTATGGAACCTGATTGGAGTTTATGTATTCATTCTTTGTTAAGAGTAGTGGTCGTAGTTATTAAAGGCACTCGCCGCTCTCGCCTATGGCGCCTCAGGTGACCAGGCGTGCTCTCTGCGCCTCAAGGAAGCCACGCGAGGTGAGATCCGTAAGGCGCGCCTAAGGCGGTTGCCTTTCTCATTTTTCTCGCCTCAATCACTGCCTTAAGGCTTTAGGATATACAATGCATAATACAATGAATAATATTTGTTGCTATATATTACTCCATAAAATATGTGTGTGTGTGTGTGTGTGTGTGTGTGTGCATTCTTTGTTAAGAGTTTCTTGCTGAATTTTCGAGGATCAATTTGAAGGGTGTTTTTCTTTCAATTGAATTTTCAAGGATAGATTTCATGATTTATTTCATTTTCTTTCTATGAATTTCTTCTTGCCAGTGTATAAAGTTCAAGACAGACCAAGCTCAGGATGCCAAGAAAATGGAGAAGCTAAACAATATATTCTTCACTCTAATGGCTCGTGGACCTTATGGTATGAAATTTTGAAATCTTTTAAGGCTTTTTTGTGTTAGAGCACATTTGGTCCTTATAGGGGAATGGAATAATTTGACCAAGCGTTGTGTGTTTGGTTGGGGGAGTTGAGAAAAGTAAGAAGAAGCTGAGCTATGGACTCATCCAAGCCCTTCATTTTTCATTCCATTTGGTGGAGTGGCGTTTTTCATGATCAATTTTCACTCTTTTCTATCAAAGTTGTTCTACACAATTATTGTTGCAAATGCAGACTATAAGTTACTTCTCTACCTAAATAAAATTACTGTCCTTATTTGGTAGAAATATGTCTTGCCTCTATTTTCCTCATTATTTATTCATAACAACATATTGCAAGGGCAAAGTTAAAAGTCAAAAGCAAAATATTTCATGCAATGAAAGATGTTCTAAGTCAAGCTAGGAACCTCCAATAAGAATGGATGGAGTATGTTTTTAATTATATCAAGAGTTATAATACAGCAGTCTTTAATGAAGAGTCAAGTTTATAATACTGCAGTCTGTGTTATAAGCAGACTATAATACTAAAGTCAAAACGTTTAATGATATACTCCTTCCCCATTATCTTTGGGAGATGAGGAAGTGTTAGACATAATAAGGAGAAGTGGAACTGTGTGGTTGATGTTGAATATGTAATGTATACATAAGGTAGAAATGGTTTTGAACCACATGAATATGACATATATGGAATGAAACAAAGATAATGGGATGGACAAAAATGATAAAAAGGGACTAGGACAAGTGACATTCTTCTATTTGGGTCCACAATTATTATATTTCAGACTCACTTATTCAAATGATTCAAACATAACATTGTTCTGACTAGTGTTTTCTTCCCATATCCTCCCCTCCTCTGATCATCCAAAAACAGAAATCGCTTGCCTCCCCCCCCCACCCCCCCGTTTTGTTCCTCTTGTATGAATTGGATGTCATTGAATTGTGGGTTATGCGTGTAGAGAATGGTGATGGAGTTTGCCCAGTTGGGTTGGGGAATCTGGAGGGTAGTGATTTTTATTTTATTATTAATATATACTCCTGCATTAGTTGGCAGTAAAGATATTTATCGTGAGAAATTATTAAAAAACATCATTGACATAAGAAATGAGAGCTTTTTTCTGATGTAATAACGGTGAAGCAGGGCTAAATTAGTAAAAGCTAATATTCTGTAAAAGAAAAATGGATTGGCATTCTTGTAATCATCTCCATGATTCACTGTTTTGTTTTTGCAGAGGATATATCAGATGTGGGTGGAAAGGAGCAGCAAGAGACTCAGACCACTAAGAGAGGGAGGGGCCGGAAACAATAACTATACTATAGTTATCCCCAAATCCTATGTATTCCTGCATCCATAAGAACACCATTCAAGAATTAACCACAAACGGATTCCTTCATCAAAGGTAAATGTGTTCTTTATTTTAGAGGGTTGTGTTTGAAGTTTTTGATGATGATTGTTACAACTACCTTTGAACCCCAAAGTTTGTTGTCTGCCCGTTTGTTTTCTTCTTTATAGTTTTTCATTTTGTGCTTTTGCAATTTATGCGTTATCTTTAGCATTTAAAAGGAAGTTGGGGTCTTTAATGGTATGTCTAGGAACTTAGATTTGGATTTCAAATCCAGATTTGGCTCAAATTCCATGTTTGGAAACCTTAACACTATGTTTGGTTCAAGGAATTTGAAAGGGAAAAGAAAGAAATTAAGATGGAAAACAGTTTTTCTGGTTTGGTTAGAGAAAAAAAGTGGATAGAAAAGAAAATGAAAAGGTAAAATATACTAAGAGGAGGAAATATCAAATTCCTTCCATTTTGGTGAAGAAAATGTGAGAAACTTATGGTTATTGTATATGGTTATATTTTTTTTTGAAAACTGTATATGGTTATATTTTTTTTTGAAAACTGTATATGGTTATATTGGATATGCTAGTTAATCTTAATAACACAAACTGTAGTACAAAACGTAAAAGTGAAAAAATATGCTTAATGTAACTTGACTAAAGTAGCTCATTAGTAAGTCTGGAATATGTATATTTTTAAACTTTTTTTCTTTTGTTTTTGAAAACTAATAATAGTAGAAGAAAAAGTTGCCTTCTCTTTGTAATTTTTTTAAAGAATGCATCACTTCAAGGCAGGCGTAATGCATGCCCACTACCGCCGTGGCGCCGCGTGATCCCTCGTGGCGAAGCCACATGTGCTTTACGCGAAGACCGCCTCCCCCCCTCCCTTCTTGACCGCGGGCCGTGAGTCCCGCTGTGGTCACGTTCACGGTCAATGACTGTTCTTTTTTTTTCAACAACCATTTGGACCAAAATTCCAAAAAATTTAATTTTTTTTTTGAAAAGTTAATTTAAAATATAATAAATTCAAATTTGAAGCCTACTATCGCCCTCTTCTATTTAAACAACCAATTCTAACTATTCCAAACAAAATTACTTCTTCATTATCTCAATATTTATTATATTTCTTTACAAAATTTATACACCATGAATCCAAAAAATCACAATCTTCACCCCTTCAATCCAAACGATTCGAACGCCAGGAATATGTTCGATAATTGTTATCGTCCGAATTTGGAGGGAATTGAATATTGGACACCATTCTCGAACTTCTTTTCGGGTGACTCTCAAGGTTTGACGTTTCTGAACTTCATTCAAGAGTCGCAACCTCATTACATGACGGAGACACAACCTTCTCATGACCAAGTTACTCAGCCCGAGGCGGGGTCCGTGAAAAAGAAAAAAGCTTCACAGAAAAAAGTGTTGTCGCCTACTACAATCAGTTCGTCACTCTTTTCAATCAACTCTAGAGTTGTGATGATCCAAGTTCCAACTAGTGGGTGCACGTGGCGTGCCGCTGTTGTTACACGCACACGCGCACAGCGCGAGAAGATCATGGATTTTTTATGGGTCTTGATGATGAACACTTTGGAAGTGTTCATGGTCAAATTATGCCTTTTAGCTGATTACCCAAGATGAATGTCATACGACAGTAATTCGTACTCGTGATGATCGCACAAACGTGATGGCGTCCGTAGCTTGGCGTCCTCCCGCAAGTTGCTTAGTGTGCTCTCATTGTTGTCGTACCGCCCACAACGTTAAAACATCTTTAGAGATCAATGAATTTCGAGAAGGCTATGTTTGTGGTGGTGGTGGTCGTGGTACGGCGCCTCGTGGTGGCGGTGGACGGAAAGGGGGTCGCGAACAGCAACCTGGGGGACGAGATGGCCGAGGAGGCCCAGGCTGTGGTGTTGCACGTGTCGGCAATACTGTTGCGCCCGTCGACATTGGCAATGGCGCGGTTAACGTTGTCACCATTGACTCCTCTTAATGCGAGGAAATTTCTGGCACGTCGTTGGACGCCAAAAACTCCCGATCAAAAAGATGTATGAAAATGGAATGGAATGAAATGTGGAAAAAGTAAAGAGTATGGTGGTGAAATGAGGGATGTCGTATCCAAGGGGATAGCATTATTGGTTAGAAATCGAGTGCAAAGTGTAACAAACACTAATATTGAATCGTAATATGTGAATCAAGACCTAAAGAAAGAGAGAACATGAATGATATGAAATGCAAGTGAAATGAACTAAATTAATGCAATGAACAAAACTAAAAATGAAATGCAAAAGCTGAAAGGGAAGCAAGCCTACGTTAAGGATTTCATGTCAATCATGCAAGTTACCAATGAACTAGATGGACAAGAGAAATCCAGTAAGATGCAAGCAAATCACCCCAATTTTCACTTCCGTGAAAATCGATAAAGAATCCCCTAGATGAAAACCTTCTTCTATGGCACTCATTTCAAGAGAACTACAAACAAGACAAACAAACCCTTCAAGTATCCTCAACTTCTATGGTAGGACTTGAGAGGGAGACTCACGACTAGTATTCTAATTAGGGGAAGCATTGAATATTACTCCCTCCGTCCGGTAAAAATCTTCCTAGTTTGACATTTCCTCATTTTTAGTGAGGGTTGACTACATCATTAAATTGTCCAAATTACCCTCCTATCTTTTGCCCCCACTTCACAGCCCCACCGTTCTGCCCCAGCCTCATCGGCCCACCACCACACCGCTATCCCTGACCCACTGCCGCCCCACCGCCGCACCAGTGCCATCGCCACCCAATCGATGCCTCACCGCCCACCGCTGTCCTGAGCCGCTGCACCAGCGCCATCGCCACCCAATCCCTGACCCACTGCCGCCCGCCCGCTGCCTCACTGCCCACCCACCAGCGCCATCAACACTACCCTACCGCCCACCGCTGTCCTGCCCCTCCACAGATCTAGATCTAGCCCAAATCTAGAAGAAGAAGGAGGAAGAGGAGGAAGAGGAGGAGGAGGAGGAGAAGAAAGAGAAAGAGAAAAAGATGGGGGAGCGGGAAGAAAAAGAGCCGAGAAAGGAAAGCAAAGAAACAAGAAAAAGAAGGGGGAAGAGAGAAGGGGGGGGGAGCGTGAGAGTGATGAAGAAGGCTAGATTTACAGTGGGAAGGAGGAATGGGGAGGAGAAATGTTGAAGGATAAGAGTGGTAATTTTGGAAGAATATGTATAAAAACGTAGAGTAGGAAGATTTTTTTCGGACGGAAAAAAAGTAGAGTAGGAAGTTTATTCTTGGACGGAGGGAGTATTAAAATATTTTATTTTATTTATTTTTTTCCTTGTTCATGTGTATTTCCTAATTAGATCTTTATTAGAATTGGTAACTCATGTGCTATACAATATGAAACGAGATGCACAAGATGTACGAATACATAAATTTCCTGGTTTTTAATAAAATATCATTTCCTCATCTGAACAAATGTTTTGGCCATAGTTTTAAAAACCAGCGAACCAGACCCCGAATCGGTCCGGTCCAATCCAGTCCTTTGAACCGGCACCGGCAGTAAAAACCGGTGAAAGCCAGCTGGTTAGTGAATCAGTTTTTTTTTTTTTTTTTTTTTTTTTTGCTAAAATTTGAAAAAATAAATCAATGTTTAGATTCAAACCACTGACCTCTTTGAGATAGAATCAAAGATTGAGTTGTTGACCATCTGATCTAAGATGTTTATGTAACAATTTAGAATATTCTGCTTATTGTATTCATTATTCTGTAATTACAAATTTGTTTTTTAAATAAAGTTAAAAAAATTGGACTTTTAACAAAGATTCAAACCCTAAATCATTGATATAATATCTAGTGCCTATCACACTTATTTATATATATTTTAAAAATATTCAAAAATTGATTTTGATATATATTCAAAAGAAATTGGGTTAACCCCCCGTTGTGAAGATCGAGAATTTATCTTCTACAACACCAAAAATAGAAAATTAATTAAATTCACATTAATGTAAAATTCATTATTTTTGTAGAATAAAAAAAAATAGAATAAAGCCCCATTTGTTTTAAGCTATTTGTAATTGCTTCTCCCTGCCTTTCTGAGTATTTGTCTACTTTTGACCTTTTCAGTCAAAATAGTAAACTTTGACCTCAAATGAATTAAAAATGATATTAGATATTAATACAAAAATATTTTTATTAGATTTATTATATCAAATATTTTCAGAATATTTTTTTATCTGATTAATACTACTCCGTATTACTTTTTATGTTATGAAAATTGCGTGAAAAGACTGGATTTTCGGTGCGTGTTTGCATACATTGTATTTTTTGCCAACTTGTATAAATTGTTATTGCTGTGATATAAAATTCTTTAATAAGATTCTACATATGACTTGTATAAAATTCTACATATGATTTTTTCATATTTTTCATGGGCAGATAAGTGAATATTTTTCCTTTTTATAAAAGATTCATTCTTTTATAATGGGTCTGTTTGGGAATAGCTTTAACGATTAGCGTTAGCGTTTTGAAAAGGCTATCAACGGACAGCGTTTAGCGTTAGCGTTTTCAAAGTAATCTGCACCGTTAAAATTTTATCCAAAACGTTAACGCTAATTTCTAACGCTATTCCCAAACAGAGCCAATGTCAATACACAAAAGTATATAAAATAGACATAGATCTTAGAATCACGTAAGAATTTGAGAGAACGAATATACTCCAAGTTGGGAGGTGTTGGATAGGAACAGCAGTTTCAATAAATAAATATCTTCATCCAAATACACATCATTTGCAATAAATAAATACTCCAATTAGTTAAGCGCATTGAAGCATGTATAAATGCCTTAATGACATGAACGGCCGCCGGCCAGGAAACTCTTTGTTTTTAAGACGAGAAAATAAAAAGACTAGTACTCTTAAAATATACGCTCTCCGTTCTAAAAAGACTTCCAATTTTGATCAAGTGTAAAAATAAGAAAGTGTAAAATTGTAGTTGACTTCTAATTTTACTTCTCATAAGATGATTAAAAATAAGATGTGATGGATAGATTGTCAGAGATAAAGTATGATGTGATAGGTAATGTATGAAAAAATAAGAGGTAAAAGTGGTTTTTTAGTAGATAGTAGAAGTATTTTGTTGAAAGTGGAAAAAAATAAAAGATGAAGTGTTTTTGAGAATA